AGAAGTTATAAAAATGTTATGGTGGTAAAAATTTTGCAAATTAGATTAGAATAGATAGATTTGCTCAAGTCATAAGAATCCCTATAGATACAGGACGATTGCTGAGAAATGTAATCATAAAATTGTTACATATAGTCAAATAATTTCAAAAACGAAACAAAAATCCTTACAAAATTTTTATGGAAAAAATATAATTAATGTGAATTGTGGAAACTTCAATGTATTTGACAGTATGTGGCCTCGCTAAGGCCTATGAAAGCTCTCAGGGGGCCCAGGTTTTAGCACATTTATCATCTCCAACCAACACGCCCCAAATGCTGAACCAAATTCTGGCAGACCAGCCAGAAATCAACCTATTCTTCATCGTGTTGCAGGGGATGGTACATTTGACCAATCTAATCTGAGGGGGCCAGCCGGAGCCTCCAAGTGCAGACAAGGTTGCACACGGCAGACTTTGCCAGGGGCTTGGCAGCGCTGTGGTCTGTTGGGAGGAGCAGATGCTTCTGTGGCACCCATGCCCTCCAGGAAGGACAAGGGGCCTAGGTCATCCCAGGAGATGCAACAGAGCAAACCCTGAGATCTGTGGTCCCACACCCAGCTGGCTCAAAGGCAAAACCAGGTTAAAATGGACACTGGCTATAGGGGGGAAGCCAGAGGATAGAGGATAGCCCATCTTGTTGCTGTTGTAAAAAAAAAAAAAAAAATGGAATGAATGTGTCATGGGGTGATTTTCTGTGACATGATCAGGTGTACTGAGGGGGCCAGCTGGGGTCACAAGGAGCATCATGGGAATAGGGAGGGACACCGGAGCCTTACTGGAAGCTGATCGAACCTCAGGAGCAAGCCTGCCAAGGAATGGGGAGGAATGGCCGCCCTCATAACCCCAGCTGATGTTCCAGTTAGAGGATGGCTCCCTGAGGGTATTGTCACAGAGCGCAAGATGGCTGAGGGCGTGGGAGCAGGACGCATCAAACCGAAGGTAACACCAGCACAAGTACGTAACTTTAAAAGAGGGAACGAGCCCACGGAACTACAGTGTAGGATCACACTATTCGGGTTCATGCCCTGCAAAACCCCCCTGTCCCACACAGCTGGGCACTCTAACCACAGCCCCGGCTCCACACAGGCCCTCAGGAGCTGGGGACACACCTGGGCAGGAGCGAGAAGCCGGTAGCCACATAACCCTAGAAAAGAGGGCTTTGTTGCCTGGGTTCTGTAGCCTTGATGGTGAGAATAAGCCAGAGGATCCCCGCTTTGTTATTGGGCCTCTGTCCTAATCCCACCAGAGTGTGGCCTGGGGGCGCTAGGGTGCCGGGGTGCAAATGCCCCAGAGCCTTCACCATCGGTCATCTCCTCCCAGGCCGCTACACGGGATACACCCCGCTCTCCCCTGAAACCACAGGCTGAGCCATGGACAGAGCCAGCAGGCAGCCAGAGGGAGATGAAGATCAGGGGCACGCTCTGTTCTCTCGTAACATGGGAGTGACCTGAGCATGTTTAGAAGCTGATGGGAAGGAATCAAGGGGGAGACATTGAAAGTACAAGAGAGCCGGAGGGAGGGATTTGCGCGAGCAGGGCCACCTCCGCCTCTGGAGACCTTCCCAGAAGTCTGGCCTGAAGGAGAGAAGAGACAGGGGCTGGCGCATCCTCCGTGAAATTGGGAAACACGTCATCTACTGAGAACAGTGAGGGGAGACCCTTAGGGAACTTGAGGAGCTGGGAGTTTGAAAATGCTGCCAAGAGGAATCAAATAGAGAGTGAGAACTGCGGTGAGAGGCAGGCCCAGCTGAATCCCTGGTGGGGGTAATTCCTACTCATTCCTGCTCTCCTGTAGCTCTTCTGTGTGTCCCCTAACCAAGAGACTCCCTTGATCTCTAACAAAGTTGGATATTTACATTTTGAAGTCCCATTTTTTAAACACCTGAGTCGGGGTGCCTGGGTGGCTCAGCCGGTTAAGCATCTGCCTTCAGCTCAGGTCATGATCCGGGGTCCTAGGATTGAGCCCCACATCGGGCTCCCTGCTCAGGAGGGAGTCTGCTTCTCCCTTTGCCCTTGCCCCTCTCCTTCCCTCCCTGCTCTCTCTCTCTCTGTCAAATAAATAAATAAAATCTTAAAAAAAGAAAAACACACATACCTGAGTGGGTAAAACTTTAAAACAGAAGTATAGCTTTACATGAAAATGTTATTATAGCTTTATTACCTGAAAGACTGAAATACAAATGCATTTATAGTAAAGCATTTTAAAGGCTGTTCTCATTATACTAAAACCCTGTTTTCATACTCTGCTTAGGAGGATAGAACTGCCAGGCACATGCATTACATACTGTAACGATTTATGAACAATATGTGGAAAAGACAGCATGCACAGCCTACAAAGAGTGCTTCTCTCGGTGCACAGGTCCCATCTTCTGCATTACTATATGATTACTATATGATGACTATATGACTACTATAATCATTCAGAACATTCCGCACATCCATTCTGATTTGCACATTTTGACTTCTTTTTCAAAGTCCAGGCCTCAGGCTACTTTCCTGTCATTTTACCCCACACATATAGTGAAGTTGGGTAGGACAGAGAATCCAGCTCCCAAAAATGAAAGTAGCAGTAGGTGCACCTAGATTCCCTTGAATAACCATCTGAGGCATGTGGCTGCTGGCTTTGTGCTCTTGTGGGCTTCCTCCCCTTGCCCTTCTCCCACACCGTTCTCCGCAGCAAGGGGCAGGCATGTCCAGGCTTTTGCCAACGTGGACTGGGGCTGTTTGTGCTTCTGAGCAAACTCTCCCTGCTGACCCCAAGGTCTAGTAAAAGCTGCAGAGAGATAAGAACTGCTAATGATGTGTCATACGCGGTCCAGATACCCTCCACCCAAAAGTGCAAGACACAGGTGATGCCACATACGATAATCACAAAAAGACCTTGTCACTAACACAAAACACATCAATGTGAAATTTCTTTTTAAATGCCCTACAAAACCCCCATATTTTAAATAGTCAAACAAATGACAAAGTCAACCAGTTGTTGTAAAGTTTGGCTGAGGGCCTCTAATGTCTAGCAGCTCACCTGCTCTCTCAATGCCCCAGTGGCTTGGAGGTAGAACATTCTGTATTGTCAATAGGTGGACATGTGGACTATAAAATACACATGGGAAAGGTTTGCCTTCACAGTGACTTAAGCAACACAAAAACTATGAAGTGTCTTTAACCATAGCCAATAAGGTGACAAAATTCAGTTTACAGCAGTAAACAGTTGATTATCATTAGCAAGGACAAAAGAGGCCCCACACACCCCTAGTGATACCACAAATCATTGTAACCTTTTTTGAGGACAGAGTTGTGTGATATGTGACAACAACTATAAAAGTTTGACCTGGCAATTCCACCTTTAGAAAAAGCCCCCAAGGAGTTAGGACAAAGGTGGGAAAAGAAAATGTTGTACAAAGAACAACATTTATTGAAGTTGCTCTCTATACAAAGAGGACATTTAAAACAATCCTATCAACTAAGGGGCCTTAGCAAAGCATAATATGCAGGTACACCATGGAGTTCTGAGCGTCCATTCAAAATGCTACCACGATGAACTTTGTTCGTGCATGAAACTTTAAGCGTGAAATAGTAAGTGAAAGTGAAGGTAAAATACAACAGAATCAATATATAACATGCAATGAGATAAACATGTATATTAGTACACACAGATCATATAAGGGACTAAAAATGATCCAGATAATTGGTATTTAGAGATTTTTGGTTTTGGTGGTGTTGTTGTTAGAGTCCAACACAAATTTTAAATTTACAAAAAAAAAAAAAAGAACACCTGTGAACGATGAGTAGGACCCGCAGACGTAGCTCAGCCAGGATTTCTAAATCTCAATACTACTGAGGTTTGGGGCCAGATAATCCATTGTTGTGGGGGCTGTTTGGTGCATTGCAGGGTCACTACCAGCATTGCTGGCTTTTACCCACTAGACGCCAGCAGCACCCTCCCAAAACTACCTCCAGGCAGTGCCAAATGTCGAGGTAGGGGACAAAGTAAGCTCTACCAAGAACCACTGGAGGGGCACCCGGGTAGCTCAGTTGGTTAAGGGATCGAGCCCCACGTTGGGCTCAGTGGGCAGCCTGCTTCTCTCTCCCTCTGCTGCTCCCCATGCTTGTGCCTCTCTCTCAAACAAATAAAATATTTAAAAAAAAAATCTTAAAAAAAAAAGAACCACTGGAGTAAGTGATAACCAACCATCAACGCTCTACCTTAGCTGTGGGCAGTTGTGAGGCCTGGGGCGGGGAGCCAGCGTGTGCCCTTCCTACAGAAGCTGTTCCTACTCAGTTAGAAATCCAGAATGACCATAACCTAACTTTTTCTTTCCTTAGCAGCTAATTCAAAGTTAAAACACTTCGTGGGCCAACACTGGGCAGTCCGAGCCTCGTGTCTACGGGCTCCCCAGACGTGAGCGAACTTTTTCTGCACAGGGCCAGGTGGTGAACATTTTAGGCTTTGTGGGAGAAATTCTCTCTCACAACTACTCAGTTGTGGGAGGAAAGCTGAGGGATGATACGTAAACAATGGGCGTGGCTCTTTTCCTATTAAGCTTCATTTACAGACACTGAAATTAGAATTCCATAGAGTTTTCACATGTCATTAAACATGATTCTCCCTTTGATTTTGTTATCCAGCCTTTACAAATACCAACAGCATTTCTGGGTCATGGGCCTTGGAAAAAAACATGGCGCAGATTTAGCCCGAGGGCCAATGTGCTAGGGGTGTGCCAGGAGAGGGCGCTAGAACCCCCTCAGGGTGATGGGGGGAACAGCAGTGGGCATCCTGGGACACACACAGGATGCCTCTCAGTTCCCAACAACTTCTCCCCATCTCCGGCCTCTTTTCAAAACTCAGCTTCCCCTCCCCCCCCACCCCCTCCCCCACCCCCCACCCCCCCACCCCCTCCCCCACCCCCCCCACCCCCCCCACCCCCGCCTACCCGCACCGTAGTCTTTGTACTGGGTGTGGTTTACTGCTGCCTCCTGAGAAACCACAAGAGTATCACTTTTTTTTTTCCAGACACAGATTGGCTTTTCGGCCATTCTAAAATTTTCTGGTATTATTAGAAGGGCCATTAATAAGGCACCGACAAAGCTGCTTACATGATTCCCAGAGCCCCAGAAAACTTCACTGGGGATGTTGTCAGTTTTTAATGAACTTACCAAAACACAAGTTTTCCTGTTTGTGTTCTGTCTGTTCGACATAACAGAGAAAATGTAGATGGCTTTTTCAGACCACAGAGGCAGCCCAGGATGCTGTGAGTGGGAACGGTTTGAGACTCAATCTCAGGAAAGAAAGGCCACCGTGGCCTCGTCGCTTTCAGGCCTGTGTCCTGTCAATGTGCTCTGGAGAGAGCAGTGTGTGGCCCGCTGAAGGAGCTTCAGGGGTCCTGCTCTCCTTACTGGCAGGAAACACTGACTCCTAGGACCTACCTCGGGCCACCTAGGACACAACACAGAGCCCCAGTTTCCTTAGCCCTCAAGGCAGAAAAGTCAGTTGAAAAATGAGAAAAGGAGGCTAGTGGGAAAGGAAGAAGAAATGAAGAGAAAAGAAAGAAGAAAACATTGAATTTAAATAAAATTAAACTAAAAAAAAGGGAGTATTAAAAAGATGAGAAGCTGCTGGTAGAGGCGGGAAGGCCAAAGACAGGAGGCAAGGAGGGAGGAAGGGACGAAGCAGAGGAGGGCCAGGAGTGTGGCATTTGCCAACTGTCCACCAGAAGACACCTCAGGCTTTAATGAATGATTAAGGGAGGAGGAGCAGGGGGGAATGGCTTCACCTCTGAGACCCACTCAGAGGAGCCATCTGGGACCCGTCCTCTCTCCTCAGACATCTCATTCTTGGGTTTTAGGTTCGAAAGCCTCATCCAGGTGTAAAACAGATAAGACTGGGGGAACTCATTCCAGGCACTCCCCTCCCCCTCCGCTTCACCCCTACAGAATTTGAGAAGATCCCTCAGCGGGAGTGGGCAGATGGCTCACTCAGGAAGCATTCCCAGGCTCTGAGGCTGCGTGAGGGGCCAGAGTCCCTGGCTAAAAGCAGGGCAGTGTTTGGTGCTTTCCTGCTCCCAGGCTTGGGTGCAAGATAAAGCGGCAGCAAAGGCCTCTGGGAATTGTTTCCAGGGCTGGGCAATGTGAAGACTGGGGTGGACCTTCTGGCCCAGCCTAGAGTCCACTCCCCAGTGCCCTGCTGAGACCTCCCCACATTCCTTGATTTACCAGCAGCCAGTGTGCTGTGAACTAGGGGCAAAAATCCTGGGTGGAGGTACAGCTGAGGACACTTGAGATTTATGAGGTAAGGAGAAGCCTCAGGCAGGCACACCATCAGGAAGGCCTCTCCACTTCCCCTGCCTCTATACGGAGGGAAAAACAAAATCACGAAAGTGAGATTTCAGTGCAGCCTTGGAGGTAGAGCCCAGACCCCAAGGGAGATCAAGGTATAGGGAAAGACTCTCACCTCCTACCAGACCCCTGTCCTCTAGCAGTGGGGAGTCTGCCAGAACTCTGAGGAGTAGCTTCACCAAAAGCTGTGACAATGACTTAATTCCTAGAAGGCCAGACATATCCACCTTAAGGGCCCCACTGTCCCTTAAAGTCAATGTCAGAGGCTTCAGTGTGAAATTGAAAAAAAATAAATACATAAACTGCTTTTCCTGGGCAACATGCTCAGACATATGACCATCCCTTCTTCTCAGGCAAGTTACACGTTTGTGCCAACCAAGCTCAACAAGCCACTCAGGGGTGTGTGAGAGTTTCTCTAACACAAGCAAGGGTGGGGAGACAGCCAAGGAAGCTCTTCTGGCCAAGTCATGATATATGCTCTCTGCAGGAGTCACCCAAACTGAGACCCAGAGGGATTTGAGCCACAGCAACAACTAAACTTCTCTTTTGGCTTCGTCTTGAGGTTTTTCAGATGTGACAAATTCTCTGGTTGTCACTGAATTTTTCAAGTATGGATTTGGTTCTCCTTCCTCACAGAGATGCTCTGGCCCTAAACTGGGAACAGAAGAGAGAGGTTGCTCTTTGGTTTCTGAGCATGTCCCTTCTAATATTCTAGAGCACAGCTGTTGGGATTTTCTCCGTGGAATCTCGGTTGAAATGGGAGGACGATAAGGCCAATATGGAGAAGTCATATACTCATTCTTTTCCTCTCTCAAAATGTTTTCCTGACCCTTTCCAGGTTCCTCTGGGGAAACCTCTTCCAAAAAATTCTCAAAGTTCACCACCAACTTGTCAATAAAGTCACTGGGGGCCGAGTACGGTTTTAGAACCCTGTCTTCTTCCATGTTCACAGGGTCATCAAACTCCTTCAGATTTAGCTTATCCTGAAAAAGAGAAAGGGACACCTCCAATGATCATTTGGGAGCTTCACATGAGGTAGTCAAAAGCTCATTAGACTTGGAATAACCAATGTCTCACCTCTTGACCAGCCCCCCACATTCCTTCCAGAGACCAGAAGTGATGGCCAGTCACCTCCACATGCCCTTCCATAGGAGCTTGGCAAGACTGGCCCATTTCCTGAGAAACGGCACATGGTATTCAAACAACTTTTTTTCCTCTAGAGAGCTCAAGGCTATTTTCCACACGATCGTAAGTTCACAAAACCCCAGTTGAGATGGGAGCATCAAAATTAGAACTCTCACATAAGATGAAAAACCACAGTCATGAAGACAAGTGACTTGCCCAACATCACCAGAAAATCAAAGATGGCCACCTGGGCAGAGACAGTATCTTTGTCATCTTTGTGTCCCCAGAGCCTAGCTCACTACTTGGCATTCAGTGAGTGGCCACAGGGCAGCTGGCAATAAGACTAGTATACATTGACCTCCCGTTCCCTGCATGAGGGCAGGGGGACCTCCCCCTGCTCCACCCCCCATTGCATGGGGGGGAGGGCATAAAGAATCATTTATATGCAAAAAAAAAAAAATCAGTGAGTGATTACTATTATGTGCTGTCGAGGACAGCCCTATATTATTCAAAAAGCATTTTAGACATCAGACAATACTGCCTATAAACTCATTTACTCTCATAACAACTTTTAATAAGTAGCAAATAGGGTAACACGCAGCTGATAAAGGAGAGAAGAAAATAGAAATAACACAAATAACAAGAATTAAAATAAATAAAAATGTCTGCATTTAAAAAAGACTTCTGAGTCGAAACAAGCCAAGGGCTAATACTAAAAATTCCTGCATCAAGAAATACTAGAAACAGTCTTTCAATAATAAAAACTTAAAAGTTATATTTGATCGGGCTTATTTTTACTTAGCTAAGAAATTATACCTTAAAAATTGCAAAAACAGTTTTCAATTTAAACTTATGAAAAAGGAAGTTTTCTACTTATGGATAACTCACTAAAAAACCTTATTACCACTTAAAGTCTGACTATAACTTCCCCAATCTGAGAAAAACAACTGGAGGCAGCCCTGTCAGCCTGTGGACAGCTATGTACGTCAACATCCCCTCACGGTCTCCGGTGGTCTCTAGACTAACTTGCTCTTGACTGCTTTTTAAATGGCATTGAATCTTCTAGACAGGCTATCTATTGCTCCCTAACTAGACAGTCAGGTCCTTGAGGGTAGGGCCAGTGTCCTTCAGTGGCATCCCTTATAGGACCAGTTCCATGCCCAGCACACACTGGGTCCTCTGAGCCTCGTGAAGTCCTTTCTGCTGGTTCAAGAGGACGAGGGCCAAAGTCGTTCCAGGAAGGCTCATTCCACCTGTCCTTCCAGCCCTGGGACTTTTTTTTTTTTTAAAGATTTTATTTATTTATTTGAGAGAGAGAGAATGAGAGACAGAGAGCATGAGATGGAGGAGGGTCAGAGGGAGAAGCAGACTCCCCGCTGAGCAGGAAGTCCGATGCGGTACTCGATCCCGGGACTCCAGGATCATGACCTGAGCCGAAGGCAGTCGCCCAACCAACTGAGCCACCCAGGCGCCCTAAAGATTTTATTTATTTATTTGAGAGAGAGAGAATGAGAGAGAGCACACGAGAGGGGGGAGGGTCAGAGGGAGAAGCAGACCCCCTGCCGAGCAGGGAGCCCGATGCGGGACTCGATCCCGGGACTCCAGGATCATGACCTGAGCCGAAGGCAGTCGCTTAACCAACTGAGCCACCCAGGGGCCCAGCCCTGGGACTTTTTAACCTCAAGTTCTATTGTTGTGAACACTGACAAATCTCAGCCCAGGACTCCTCCCCACCTCCATCGCCCTTCCTTGTCTTCTGCAACCAACCTGCTCAATGATTTCCTTAACAAAAGCAGAAGTATTTACCTTGAAATCATCTCCACGCCATGTAGCTATGCTGCTTTCAGCAGGGTTGGGGACATCAGGCCAACATAAGTGCTTCAATTTGCTAATAAGAGATAAGATTTTAAAACAGGAAGTAAGTTCAAGAAGTATGTTACTTACACTGCATGGCTCCACCAGAAGAGTGGAGCTTTGCTACAGGGAATAAATAAGGGCAAGCTTCTGACCTCCTGACGGAAGCTGGGAACACATAGTCTGGAGAGTGAAATTACAAGTCATCAGTGGGATGTGATGGAAAGACACTTTTCTTACCCTCTCCTGCCCCTGCAACCCCACCCCGAGACCTGACGTTGGAAATCACACCATCACAGAACCATGTCTTCGAGATTTATTCTCCAGGAAGGGTAACGCTCTAAGCCTGATACGATATCCACACTTTAGTGCAGTGATTCTCAAAGTGTGGTCCCAATCAGCAGCAGCTGCCTCACCTGGGAGCCTGTTAGACATGCAAAATGTACAAGAGTTTGGCTGGTGGCTTGGTTTCTACCTATGGTTGGGAAATGAGGTTGACATTCACTTCCCTAGAACTAAGCATAGCTGCTTGGCAGAGAAGGCCCTCAACTGTGCAATTCCGGAGAGAGAGGTCTACCGGGGAGGGAGCCCTTGACCAGCAGGGTAGCATGAAGCTCTCTGGGGAGAGAAAGCACAAGACCCTGAGACAAGCTTCCTTTCCCACAGTGGCCCGGGCACGCAGGACAAATGTCCCCACAGCCAGGCCTCCAACACTGCGCCACGAACAAGGAACAAGTCTATGCTGGGCGTACTGCTAGCCAGTGCTCTAATTACGTGGGTACGTTCCCTCTCTACCCAGGAGAGAAGCAAGTGGCCTGAGGCCTCCTGCTGCTGCCAGATACTGAGAGAAACGACGTTCTCCCTTACGTTAGAGGCAGATGCCAAATATGGAAGATAAAGCCTATGGGGCGGCTGGTAATCCCCGGCATAAGCCTGTATGTGGGCTGTGGGGAGTGAAAGTCCTCTTGTTTGGTCAGTTCTGATGAGCGCGGTATGGCATATAAATAAACTCAGTCAATATGTACCAAATTAATAAACAAATAAACACCCCCTTAATAAGAGAGGGCCCTCTCCACCCACGATGCCTTCCACCCATTTCAATCCCTGCTTTTGAGGGTACATGCTGTTGCCTATAAACTCACTTGGGTTTTTTGAGACCATATGCCACTGTCAGCATGATGAGAATGAGAAGACCACCTCCAACCAAAGAAGTTATAAATAAAATCTCAAGGACACCTTTGGGAAGAGGAGAACAAAAGTCAGTAAAAGGATGAGCTCCTCACTTTCTTGACAAAAATGAAAGATTAATTTTTTTTCTTCCAGGACTTTCAGCAACACGTTCCTTATGAGTTCTCTTTCAGTTCAATTAAAATGTATTCATAAAAAGAAATGGCATTTGGGGCTCCTCATCCAGTTCTCTTCTGCCTGAATAATAGTGATATTGTAATAATAATAGACCCAGACTGGTCAATAATTATGTTCACCAGGTTCATTCTCCAACCTCGTTCCTTTAGCACATATTTATTGAGCACGTACCATTTTCCAAACACTATTCTGGGTAATAAAACAAACAGCAATAAGGAAGAAATACAAGATCCCTACTAGCATGGAGCCTACATTCTGGTAGAAAGATTCAGACAACAAAGAAAGATTATTTCAGATATAACAGGATGATAGAGTGTGTTTAGGTAAGACAGTTAGTAACTTTACCTATCGGCAAAGGAAGACTTCTCTGAGAGGTGAAATCTGAGCTAATATTAATAATGAGAAGAAACCCCTCATGCAAAAATATGGAGAAAGCATTCCTGGCAGAAGAAACAGCAGATGCAAGTCTTGAAGCAGGAAGAAGTTAGCACAGATAGAATCAGAACATGGAAGGAGATGAGGTCAGTAAACCCCAGCTCACGAAGGACCCTGAAAGCAATGGGTAGGAATTTGTATTTTATTTAACACAAAACAGAAGCCGCTGGGGGTTTCAAGCAGGGGGCTAGGGTTTTAAACTCTGACTGCAGTGTGGAGAATAGACTGCAGAGGAACAAAGACAGAAGCAGGGAGATCTGTAATCTGCAGACAAGTGTTAAGAAATATTGAGGCTCCAAGGCAGGCTTTTGCCTTAAATTTGGCCCACAGAGAAAATTCTAGTAGATGATGCAATCTGTGCCTAGTGCTATGAAAATACAATATGGGGGCACCTGGTTGGCTCAGTTGTTAAGCGTCTGCCTTCGGCTCAGGTCGTGATCCCGGGGTCCTGGGATCGAGCCCCGCATCGGGCTCCCTGCTCCGCGGGAAGCCTGCTTCTCCCTCTCCCACTCCCCCTGCTTGTGTGCCCTCTCTCGCTGTGTCTCTCTCCGTCAAATAAATAAAATCTTTAAAATAAATAAATAAATAAATAGGGGCGCCTGGGTGGCTCAGTCGTTAAGTGTCTGCCTTCGGCTCAGGTCGTGATCCCGGGGTCCTGGGATCGAGCCCCAAATCGGGCTCCCTGCTCGGCAGGGAGTCTGCTTCTCCCTCTGACCCTCCTCCCTCTCATGCTCTCTGTCTCTCATTCTCTCTCTCGCAAATAAATAGAAAAGAAAAAAAAAAAAAGAAAAGAAAATAGCAGTGCCTTGGGGCGCCTGGGTGGCTCAGTCGTTAAGCATCTGCCTTCAGCTCAGGTCATGATCCCAGGGTCCTGGGATCGAGCCCCGCATCGGGCTCCCTGCTCCACGGGAAGCCTGCTTCTCCCTCTCCCACTCCCCCTGCTTGTGTTCCCTCTCTAGCTGTCTCCCTCTCTGTCAAATAAATAAATAAAATCTTTAAAAAAAAAAAAAGAAAATATGATTTTAAAAGATTCTACAGAACAATATCAAAAAGAACTCCAAAAAGGCAGTATTAGTCCATAAAAACAGAACATATTTTCTATATGGAAACACATGCTATATTCACATTTTCCAGAGCCATAAAGATATTTTTATTCTTTTCAAAATGTGATGAGCAAGAGGCTTTCAAGAGTACTTAAACCAGGGGTGTCTGGATGGCTCAGTGGGTTGGGCATCTTGATTTCGGCTCCGGTCTCAGGGTCATGAGGTTGAGCCCTGCATTGGGCTCCACACTGAGCTTGGAGCCTGCTTAAAATTCTCTCTCTCCTTCTCCCTCTGCCCCTCCCTACCCTCTGCTCACACACTCTCTCTCTCTAAAAAAAAAAAGAGAGAGAGAGAGAGAGAGAGTACTTAAACCAGAATATTTCTAACTTTTACTGTAAAAATTGGCAATGTCTCCTTACTTTTAATATAAATAATTCTTAAAACAGTTCTAGTATATCTTTAAAATCAAATCTCTGCCCCTCAAGGACTTGAGAAAATTAACATATTTCTGTTTCTCCCATTCCCCTTCTCTCTTTCTTCTTCATCTCTCCTCTCATTCTATCTTCTTTTCCTCTTGAATATTTCCCATAACCATCATACAACACTATATTGTATTTTATATTTTGTTATTAAATTTTTCTTGCTCTCTATTTTTTAATATAAAAACTGGTAAGTAGAACATATTGGGTACTTTTTTGCTCTAAAATCTCCACAAATGATGGAAGTAAAGTTCCTTCCTGTGGACAATGGTGCTTGTTCTACCAAGGTTTTCCCTCCAAGGCCCCACTATGTAGTAACCACTGAAACACAGAAACTGGTGACTATGAACTTGGGGACAGCTTTGCAACAGGGGCTGGTTTGTACTGAGAGTGAAGTTGGAATTAACTTGAACCCTTTTCCTCAAGATGACATGGGACTACCCATGAAGAAAGAGCAAAATGACCAGTCTTTTCAAATTCAGTTCTCAATGTGTTTGCTCTCCCTACTCTCTCCTCACTTCCTACTTCTTCCTACTTATGTACTTCTCTTTCATTAGGCTTCCCCTGCCTTTGGCAAACATCATCTCTAACTGGCCTAAGAGAAATGCCAAGAAGACTTATCCAAGACATAAAGGAAATACTCACTAACTGATAATGTCTTGAAGTTTATCTTGGTGCCGTTGGTTCCCCCAGCCCTGGTGCTGGCCATGACTTGAAGAGTATAAGAGGTCTTTCGTGTCAGGGACTCCAGGCCATACTGCAGGATGTTGGAGTTGACTGTCTTGGCTAAAGGAAAAATACAGAAGTCAAACATGATAGCCAAGCCCAAGTAAAAATTGTGCTTTAGGAAGAGTGAAATAAGAGGGACTGGGACCTGTACATCCAGGTCAGCCAATCTAATACCCCAATCCTTCTATCCATGGTCTGCTTAAAATTAGGCTATAAAGATATATCAAAGACCTAAACATAAGAGCTAACACTATAAAATTCTTAGAAGACAACATAGGGTAAATGGTGGCCCTGAACTTGGCAGTGGTTTCTTAGATATGATACCAAATACACAAGCAACAAAAGAAAACAGATTAATCTGGACTTCACCAAAATTAAAAGCTTTTGTGCATCAAAAGACATTATCCAGAGAGTGAAAAGGCAATCCACAGAAAGGGAAAAAATATTTGCAAATCATATATTTTATAAGGAACTTCTATCCAGAATATAGATATATATATAACTCTTATGACTCAATAACTGAAAGACAAACAACCCAATTTAAAAATGGGCAAAGAAATTGAGCAGACTTTCTCAGAGAAGATATACAAATGGCCAATAAGCACATGCAAAGATGCTCAACATCATTAGTTATTAAAGAAATACAAAACAAAACCACATTGAGAAACCATTTCACACCCATTAGGATAGTTATAATAATTTTTTTAACAGAAAATAAGTGTTGGTAAGAATGTGGAGAAATTGTAACTCTTATCCATTGCTGGTGGGCATGTAACATGGGGCAGCCACTATGGAAAACAGTTGGGTGGTTTCTCAAAAAGTTAAACTAGAATTATCATATGGGCCAGCAATTCCACTCCTAGGTATAGGCCCCAAAGAATTAAAAGCAGAAACTCAAAGAGTATTTGCATACCCACATTCACAGCAGCATTAATTACAGTAGCCAAAAAGTGGAAACAACCCAAATGCCCATCAACTGATGAATGGGTAAACAAAATGCAGACTGTCCATAGAATAGAATATTCTTCGGCTATAAAAAGGAATGAGATATTATTACAATCTACAAGATGGATAAACTTTGAAAACACAATGCTAAGTAAAAGAAGCCAGATAGGGCGCCTGGGTGGCTCAGTCGGTTGGGCGACTGCCTTCGGCTCAGGTCATGATCCTGGAGTCCTGGGATCGAGTCCCGCATCGGGCTCCCTGCTCGGCAGGGAGTCTGCTTCTCCCTCTGACCCTCCTCCCTCTCATGCTCTCTGTCTCTCATTCTCTCTCTCGCAAATAAATAAAATCTTAAAAAAAAAAAAAAGAAGCCAGATACAAAAAGCCTCATATTGTATGATTCCATGTATATGAGATAGCCAGAATATGTAAATCCAAAAGATGGAAAGCAATGTTGTGGTTTCTAGGGACTGTGGGAAGAAGACAATGAGAAGAGATGATTAATGGGTACAGGTTTCCTATTTGGGGTGGAAACAGGTAGAGATGATGGTCGCACAACATTACTGATCTACTCAATGCCACTAAATTGTACATTGTTCAATGTTTTAAGTGGTAAATTTTATGTTTTATGTATTTTACCGTAACAACAAAAAAAGTTAGCCTAAATAGGAATCCAAGCCTAGCCCAGAATTTAGGATGTCAGTCGATACTGTGGATTCAAGACAGAAGTATGACTTGGCAGTGGGCAATAGGAGTCAGGGTAAAGGGTCCTGCACTGAGGTAAGTGTCACCACTCTACTCTTTAATCCAGGCACACCCCATTCTGCGTTAATAATTGGAAGGTTCCCAGGAGACCCACTTGTTCACAGCCTGACCAGGACAAATTGTATCAACTCCTGTGGTTCCTCCAGGATTCTTAAGTACAGTCACTTCACTCTCATTTGACTCCAAAAAGCTCAAGAGGTAGGTGCGCCTGGGTGGCTCAGTCGTTAAGCATCTGCCTTCAGCTCAGGTCATGATCCCAGGGTCCTGGGATCGAGCCCCGCATCGGGCTCCCTGCTCCACGGGAAGCCTGCTTCTCCCTCTCCCACTCCCCCTGCTTGTGTTCCCTCTCTCACTGCGTCTCTCTCTGTCAAATAAATAAATAAAATCTTTAAAAAAAAAAAAAAGCTCAAGAGGTCAGTGCTCTTGGCCTCATTCTCAGAGAGGGTCAAAGAGGCTAAGTGACTCATGCAAGACTGTAGGGCACCAACCCCTATGGCAGGTGTATCCATAGTATCTCTCTGGGGCTTGGGGGTTTTCCAACTTGGCTACAAGCACACTTACAGAACTCCTTTCCATCTTCAGCTTGGTAAAATATGGTGTAGTTGCTGATGAAACCATTTCTCTGACTCTTGGGAATCTCCTTCCATGTGACTGTGACTGTCTTCACACCAATGTTGTCTGCCTCAGTTACAGGACCCACTGATGGAACTTTACAGGCCAGGGAGAAAAATAATAAGGACTGAATCACAGCTAAGTAGATCCTTTCCCCACAAATGTTGGGGCTGGTACTCAAAGCAAAATCGGTGTCAGAGGTGGGAGGTAGGGGCAGAGTAGGGACACAGCACACCACCTTGTTTGGGAACATAGTTTTCTGGAATCACCCATCTTGCACAGAAGAAAAACACTGGCAAAGGCCTGCAAAAAAGTACTTTCTTACAGAGCCCTCACTGTCATTTGGCATTCAGCTTTCACTCATAGCGGCAACAGCTATTACCAGATACAGCTGAAGGACATGCCCCCATGGGTTACCTTTGAGCGACAGGATATATTTTCTAATGTTGAATCTGGAAAAGGTGAACTTCCAAGTGATAAAAATGAAGTCTGAGCAATTCATTAGTACAACCCTTGATTACTGCTACACAATTAAAAATAATTTTTTTAGCATCTCCAACCTATGATTAACTCTGTAAGGTCCCTAACTTGGTCTTAAAAAAGTGTTGTTTCTGCTTACAGGGCTATTGGCACTAAGCTCCTTTGTGGGGTTGGACAAACTATTTCACCTCTCTGAGCCTTGATTTTCCATTTGTAGAATGAGGGGCTTGGACTTGAGGATCTCTAAATTCTACCCCAGCTTTGAAATCCAGTGAACCTACAACCTGACCACAATTGTGTCAAGCATATGTAGCTTACAAGCTGAAGGTGCAGCACAGCTAAGCACTAAGGCAACTGTGAATGAGCTATAGAAATTCACAGCCTTGTCTGGATGTTGGACAGGCCCCAGGGTTTCCTCGCCCCACGGGGCCTTTCCATACATACTGCCTTCTCGGACATAAGCCTGGATGGAATACGACTTGCCCACTCGGTCTCCCAACACTGGATACACAGAGATGTTATAGCACCAGAAGGGCTTTAACTCATCTGTAAAAAAGAGAGAGAGAGAGACAGAAAATAAGCCTTAAGCTCAGAGCCTGGCAAAGGAGATCTGTTAGACCGAGTTACATCTACGACTACGGAACATACTCTATTTCTCTACAGTTTCCACATCTGGAATAATAAGGAGGTTAGGTTGGATGGTCTCCAATGTCTATTCCAGTTCTAACCTTTTAAAATTAATTCTTAGAACTAAGTCTTCACTACTCTGATGAAATGACAGAGCCACCCAAGAAGGGAAAAGTAAGAGATCGGGTCCCTCCTCCATCATAGATTTTGTTACATGATTTGGAAGCACTACAGAATAAAACTTAATCCTTCTGTCAATAGCATATCAACCTGAGAACTCAAGTACCATGAATTCTAGCTCCTCTACCATGAACCCCTGCATGAGTATAATTCTTTATATGGGTGCCATTAAGTATTAAGAAATGGTTGGACGGACAGGATTGGGAGGGTGAAACCTCACTCATCTGTCTTTCAAGGAGCAGGGACTTTCTTAAAAAGAAGACTATTCTCTATATCATTCACCTGGAGAGGGGACCTAGATCTTAAACAGGGAACCAGAACTAAAAGGGTAGCCTGGGAAGGACTGATGAGAGACAAACGCTAGTGTTACCCACATGATCAAGATATCGAGGAAGGGCTCTCTGACGGTGAGGTCACCATGGTGTTTTCCACTTGGAAACAGACCAGATACCTGGTCTGATATCCATGGCTTCCTGGCCCAGCCTAAGTGGGAACCACCAAGAAATATGGCACTTCACTTTGTCAAATGCTATTCCCCCATATCTACAGCTTTGAAGTCAAAGTTAAAGATTTTAAAACCAGTGGAAATGAAACTGAATCCTATATAGAGGGAACTTGTGGGGTCCACAGTGGCTACCTTTCTGGATTGTCCAGTTCCTGGCCTGAGACACAGATTCCCAGGAAAAAGTGGAGGACTCTGAGTCCAAATCTGGGAACCATTCAACCATCCATGTGTCCACCTCTGGAGCAGAGCTTTGCCACTCCACCACCAGCTGGTCCCGAGTGAGGCAGGCCTGCATGGCCTCAATGCACTGAAATGCTAAGAGAAGGGGAAAAAAGAGAGAGAGAGAGAGAGAGAGAGAGAAAGCTGCCCAACTCATTCTCCAAATGCACCAGCCACACTGGCATCCATTCACTGCCCAAATCATAAAGAAGGTCAAAATTCAGGATCTCCCCTGCAGCCTCCGCTTATGGTGCTGTTTCCATCCTTTTTACTGTATCACTTTTCCTTGCCTCCCACTTTTGATGATTAAGTACCTTCTTAATCTTTCCTTATGTCCCCAGAATTTACCTGTTTCCGAGAAAAGATCTCACTAGAGAGTTGCTGACTCACAAGACTTACCTTCCACAGGTGCTTGTGCAAGTAAAAGGAAGCGAGTCTAAGACAAAGAATGAATCTCTAAAAGCAGAATTTCAGGTACCAGTAATTCTATGGCTGGGAGCTGGGAAATGGTGCCCCTGCAGTCATACCTGGGAGCTGGCTTCTAATTTCGACTATCCAGGCTGGCCCCACGCAACCCGGCTACGGACTGCTATCCACAAGGCAGTGAGAACTGTACCTGTACCACACCCTCCAAAGCACCTAGGTATGGACTGATATGCAGAGGACAACATTTTCTGCAGGCCTCACCAAAAAACTCATGTTTGGAAACAAGCAACAAGGATTCCTGTAATAGAAAAGTTATAAATAAAATCTTTAAAAATGGGGGGGAGGGGCACGCCTGGGTGGCTCAGTCAGCTAAGCGTCTGCCTTCAGCTCAGGTCATGATCGGGGTCCTGGGATCGAGTCCCACGTCGGACTCTCTGCTCAGCAGGGAGCCTGCTTCTCCCTCTCCCTCTGCCTGCCACTCTGCCTGCTTGTGCGCTCTCTCTCTCTCTCTCTGTCAAATAAATAAATAAAATCTTAAAAAAAAAAAAAGGAGAAGTTGAACATGTGCGTTCAAATACAATACTTAGGATTTAATTAGAATCAGAGAGCTATCTTATTAAAAATGTTCTAAGTTGGGCGCCTGGGTGGCTCAGTTGGTTAAGCGACTGCCTTCGGCTCAGGTCATGATCCTGGAGTCCCGGGATCGAGTCCCACATCGGGCTCCCCGCTCGGCAGGGAGTCTGCTTCTCCCTCTGACCCTCCCCCCTCTCATGCTCTCTCTATCTCATTCTCTCTCTCAAATAAATAAATAAAATCTTTAAAAAAAAAAAAAAAAGAAGTAGGAGTTTGGAGGGTGCCTGGTGGCTCAGTTGGTTAAGCGACTGCCTTAGGCTCAGGTCATGATCCTGGAGTCCCAGGATCGAGTCCCGCATCGGGCTCCCTGCTCGGCGGGGAGTCTGCTTCTCCCTCTGACCCTCCCCCCTCTCATGCTCTCTCTCTCTCATTCTCTCTCTCAAACAAATAAATAAAATCTTTAAAAAAAAAATGTTCTAAGTAAGAAGAGAGGAGAACAACTGGAGGCCATTGTGGCACAGAAGGAGGGCACAAAGGGGTGGGGCCCAGAAGATCACAGGGTGCCACTCTCCCCCCTCCTCCGCCCCTTACCACCCACAATATCCCTGAGGCTTCAAAACTGCAATTAGCAGAAAGTATGCTTCAATAAACACAAAAGACAGTCCTGGATACAGGCAGGAAACAGTGTCTTTCAAAAAAATCAAAAAGCCTTCTGAAGCTAGAAGCCTAGGCCAAGTGTAGGGATTTGGTGTGAGGTCTGGGAGTACTGAATCCTGCTATTTCTAGGCAACAAGCCCTAGCAAGCTGTGTGCATATTTAGGAGCCTCTGTTCTTGAAGGTCACAGTTTATGAATCTTTTTCTCAAACTGGGCCTTTATGAGACACTCCAGCCGCTAGTCCCAGAAGGAAGGCCAGGTAATTTGTCAATTTCCTGAAAGGGTCAGGAAAAGCAACTGAGGCATATAGGAAATGTGAAGCTGGAATAGGGGTGGGTGCCAGGACATCAACCCCCTGTGATCCTTAGAGCTCCTATTACCCCCACCCCCGCTCATAGCCTCTAAGCATCCTCATTTACCATTCCAGTCAGGCTAAAAGGCATTTCTAGAGCTTCTAGAATCCTCCCTAACCTCTGGTAGCAGGTAATGTTCATGCTCCCTGATCTTCTCAATTCCTTCTTACTATTTGTGTGTGTCTGTATATTTTGCTTGGTTGGAAGAACTGTGTGATGTAACTCACACTCCAGAGTCCCTTTGCAGGTCATGCTGGAACGACCCTCCCCAAGATTTTTCTTGCAAATTGTACCCATTATGGTTGAACTCTGTCCCCCCAAAAAGATATCCTCAGTACTGCAGAATGTAACCTTATCAGGAAATCAGATTGTTGTGGATGTTAGTAGTTAAGACAGTGGGTCCTTAACCCAATATGACTGATATCCTCATGAGTGGAATTTGGACACAGAAATAAAGAGACAGAGGAAGCTGGCCACATGAAGACCCAGGCAGAGACTGAAGTTATGCTGTTACAAGCCAAGGAATGCCCTGCCAACACCTTCAGTTTAGACTTCTAGCCTCCAGAACAATGGGACAGTAAATTTCTGTTGTTAGAAGCCACTCAGTCTGTGGTGCATTGTTACAGCAACCCTGGGAGGATCACACAGCACCTTTGGCCTGGCCACCTCCCCTTTCCTGGCCTTGTTTCGTTCACATCCTTTTCTGGTGTCCTCAGAGGCACTTTTGTAATAATTACTTGCACACAAATCCTGACCTGAAGACAGGAGTGAGTGTTGCTTCCTAAGCCCACACTCCTTTTCTTTACCAACACTGGCTGTCTTCAGAGCAGGTGTCAGGTTGAAAGAGTCAAACATGCTGCAGGGATGAAGGGAACAGCCCGGGCTCTGGGCCAGAGAGGAGTGGAAAAGTTTCAATTAAGCCATAAGTCAACAGTGAAAGGGCCTGGGCAGGGCTAAGGGTGCTGAAAGAGAAGTTTCCAAATCATCACACTGCTGTGTGTAAACTCACTCCTGAATCCTTCCATTGTTCAACAAGAACATCTGAACAATTTCTCCAAATACAACATACCCCCAGGTGTAGTAGAAAATCCATATTCTTCCTGGGAGAGGGGGAGAGGGGCTTTGACTGCTAACACCTTTAAGTTCTTGGGGTTTGCATGAAGGCAGTCACTGCGGGCCATCAAATACAGCCCTCAGGCACTATGGTGCCTCACCTTAGCTGTCCGAGCCTACCCTCAGCTCTGCCCCGAGTCTCAACCACCTTCTCATCCCGCACCACACAGTGGCTGGGCTCTTCTGGGCCCTGCCTCAGATCACTCTAGGGCCACCTGCTGGCTAAGGTCCTTTAAAACTCAGAGATGTTCAGGGCGGAAGGAACCTGAAGGTGCATCTATTCCAAACCCTTGTTTTAAAGATGTTAAAATGGAGGCCCACAGAGGTAAAGAACCGGTTCACTGTCAAACAGCATCAAGTCCAAGGTTCTGATATATTGTACAAGGTTGGATCATGCAGACTTGGGTTTGAATTCCACCTGAGCAACCGTGGGCAGATTCCTAAGCTTTCCTGAATCTCAGCGTCATCGTCTATGAAATGACTCTAATAGCATCTACCTTGTAGACCCTTTCAAGATTAGCATTAAATTAACCTACTTCATCTGAGCACAATGCCTGACATAGACTAATGAACAGTATATGATAATTGTACTTCTTAGTGATTGTTACATTTATAACAATTATTATTATTATAACTATTCTCTAGTTGACTCTACCTTATTAAACAAAATTCTGTAAAGCATTACTTTCTTATACGTCTAAAACAGGAGTCTTTAAACTTTCTTTTTTTCTTTTTTTTTTTTTTAAAGATTTTATTTATTTATTTGACAGAGAGAGACACAGCAAGAGAGGGAACACAAGCAGGGGGAGTAGGAGAGGGAGAAGCAGGCTCCCCGCAGAGCAGGGAGCCCGATGCGGGACTCGATCCCAGGACCCTGGGATCATGACCTGAGCTGAAGGCAGTCGCTTAACCAACTGAGCCACCCAGGCGCCCGAGTCTTTAAACTTTCTCTTTAAGAAGCCAAATAGTAAATATTTTAGGTTTTATAACACATGTGGTCTTTGTCACAACAATTCAATTCTGCCACTGTTGCACAAAAGGAGACATAAGCAAATGTAAACAAATAGGTGTGGCTGTGTTTCAATAAAACTTTATTTACAAAAACAGGTATCAGGCCAGGTTTGGTCCACAGCTGTAGCTTGCCTACATCTGGTCTGGGATTATTATAACCGATGATCATGCTGACGATTCTGACACAAAGCAAGTACCTTCAGAATTGGGAAAAATTAACAAAAAACCCTATGGGAATTTAGCATAACTTTAGTTAAAATATTATTTTATAGTATTTTTAAAGTTGATAATCCCTGCCTAATAAAAATTTAATCAATCAGAAATTTTATTAAGAATGACAATGGCGGGATGCCTGGGTGGCTCAGTCTGTTAAGCGTCCAACTCTTGGTTTTGGCTCAGGTCATGATCTCGTGGTTGTGAGATCAAGGCCCCACTGGGGTGTGCTCAGCACAGAGTCTGCTTCAGATTCTCTCTCTCTGCCCCTCCCTCCTGCACTCTCTCTCTCTCTCTCTCAAATAAATAAATAAATAAATAAATAAATAAATAAATAAATAAATAAAATCTTTTAAAAAAAAGAATGACAATATTAATAATTAGCATTAGGCAAATCATTTTAAATACACAATCTCATTTCATCCTCACAACAGCTCTGTAAAGGAGGTATTACTATAAAATAGCTCCATTTTACAAGTAGCTGAGTTTTAGAGAGGTTACATAACTTGCCCAAAGTTTCTGGTATCTAGATACCATAGTGAAAAAGCCAAGATATGAATTCAGGGCTGTTGGACTCCAAGACCCATGTTTCTATCCCCTATTCCCACTCCAGGGCCACACCAAGAAACTGGCTTTACTATGCACCAGTGCCTCTACTAACAAAGAATGTTTATTCAATGACACATGCATTTGTCAGAAACCTCATCACTAGAGGTATTGGATAGAAAGTAGGATGCCAGGAACTAAGGATGGTGGGGAATATTATTAAATACTACAGTAATGTCAACTGTAGCTCAAAACACAGATTATGTATACAATTGACCCTTGAACAACGTGGGGGTTGGGGCACCAACCCCCTGGGCAGTTGAAAATCTATGTATAACTTTTGACTCCCCCAAAACTTAACTACTAATAGCCTACTGTTGACTGGAAGCCTTACTGATAACAGAATGGATTAACACATGTTTTGTATGTTACATGTATTACGTATTGTATTTTTTTAAAACATTTTATTTATTTATTTGAGAGAGAGAGCGTGTGCACAAGCAGGGGGAGCAGCAGGCAGAGGGAGAGGGAGAAGCAGGCTCCCCACTGAGCAGGGAGCCCGATGTGGGGCTTGATCCCAGGAGTCTGGGATCATGACCTGAACTGAAGGCAGACGCTTAACTGACTGAGCCACCCAGGTGCCCCTGTGTATTGTATTTTTACAAAAAAGAATGCTAGAGAAAATAAAATGTTATTTAGAAACTCGTAATAGAAAATACATTTATACTATTGTACAGTAAAAAATTTGCATATAAGTGGACCCACCCAGTTCAAACCCATGTTGTTCAAGAATCATCTGTATATAGGAGTTCTAAAATGAGGCAAGGGAAGAAACTGGTTCAGTTTAAGGGGAAGAGGAAGAAGGGAGTATAGGCAAATAGGTCTAGAGCTGATAGTACAAAGGCCTGAACCAGTCTAGGTCTAAGTAAAGAGAAGTAAAAAATTGGAGAGTGCATTACCTAACTATGATGTGTTTCAACAAATAGTTACCGAGCACCTTTTCTATGCCAAGTGCTCTATGCCTGTTCTAGGTGTTGCAGATGGGGGGGGGGGGTAGTGGTATGAGGAAGAGGAAGAGGAGGAAAAGAAAAACGGACAAAAATCTCTGCACTCAAGGAACTTGCATCCAACTGAGGGAGAGATAGGTATTAAACAAAATAAAGGAGAAAATCTATATAATGAGAAACAGTAAGATTTATAGAGAAAAGAAAGTAGGAGAGAAGAAATCCCTTGCCTGCAATTCCTTGACTAAGAATCAAAGAAGGTATTTTATTCTCACATGCGATATAAAAGATGAGTTTGCCTGGGATCAGTAAAATGTTTAAAACTACCTAATCAAAAGCATAAGGAGCACTTTATTGACAAGTATAAACATCAGAAATTTTCTTAACTTAGGAGTCACATGGAAAAAAGAACATGGAAGAGTGAGCAAACACAGGCTGGGACTTTGTCAATACTGTGAGAGGGAAAACTCAAAAGAGAAGTTTCTGCCACTGAGGACAAACGTGGTTTATCAGATAGTTTTCTATGGCTCACTCAGACCAAAGCAAGTTCAAGCTGCTTGCAGAACTTTTAGGTGTATGACTTTGTCTCATATGACTTTACGAAGTCTCTGCTTTTCAACACAGGCTTTGTTCCAAAGGAAGTGTATTTCAAGGGGCTCATTAATTACCACAAGATTTTGGTCTCCTCACCATAACCTAAAAAGCTCCCACTTCATTTTCATTTTGACTTGAGAGAAAGAGCAATCCTTGAGGGGACTTCCTGGCCAACTCGTTGGGACCAGGCATCTAAGTAAGAAGTTTACACTCTACTTACACTTTTCATCAATAGCTGGAATCCTCAGGGTGGCCACCGGAGATTCCCCAAGAGAATTATAAGAAATCACATACACCCAGTGGGTCTTGCCTCCCAGATACAGTTCATGCGTCTGGTTAGTGGTGTTCACTGTTTCTGTGAGATTAGTGTTGTTTTCTGGAAAGTACCATATGTTGTAGCCAAGGGCCTTCTCCAGGACCGGAGCTCCGCTTGCCTTCTGAACCCAAAGGAAACAAAATGTATTGCCAGAAACACGAAAAGATCGGCACTGAGATGGTAATAAATATTTGGTGAGCATGAGGGATGAGGGGTAATGTTAATTATTAGGTGCTAAACTACAATTAGGTCATCACCCTTCTGGGATGAGTAACACACCCCGTGTTGTGTTATTAATCCTTCAAGGGCCAAAAGAGATTTGATAAATGGTCCCTTGGTATCAACCCTTAACAGAAGTCTAATTTCATGAGGCTTCACTAGGAGAAGGTGCAAGCCAATGTAAGCAAGTCATTTTGATGCTTATCTTTCTTGCCCTCCCACATGCACAGGACAGTATAAGCTAAAAATGGGAGGCATTCACTCCAAGAATCCCAATTCTGTTCTAGCCCTGGAAGCTTCTCTGGAAGTTTCCAAGGGTTGGAAAGTACCTGTGCAGTTACATAAAAAGCAGCATGCCTCCTTCGAGAAAGGAGCGAGCTTCCCTGGACCAGCCATACCAGATAGCCCAGCTAAGAGGCCTAAAACATTCACGGTTGCCCTACCAGTCCTAAACCTGTGGTGAGAAGCCTAAGGTGACCCCAGGGATTCCAAGCCAAACTCTTCTTTTCAGCCTCGAACCTGAACCTACTAATCATATGTTTTTGCCTAGGGATCACCTTGCTGAGTATTTCCCAGGAATTATAGGGCTTTCCAGTTGTTCACTTTGTGTTACTGACAGCACACACGGATGGAGTAAAGTGACTGAATGTAAGGTCAGACAGGACTTTAGAAGTCACTTTGTCCCACTGCCTTTCCAGTTCAGGAATGGACAGAAACTTCCTAATGACTGGGAGGTTTTTACTTCTTAAGACGATGCATTCTCTTTTGTAAACAACAGCTTTATTGAGATGTAATTCAGATACCATAAAATTCATTACTTTAAGGTATACAGTTAAGGGTTTTTTTTAGTGTATTCGCAGAGCTGTGCAATCATTACCACCATTCAGTTTTAGTCCAATCTCTTTAACCAACTTTAATTCTTAGACACCTCTCCTACTGAGGCAAAATAAGGACCAGTCCCTGGATGAGGAGGAGAAGGAGGAGGGCATTCAAGTCCATTTCACCAACTTCACATGTTAGCCTACTTGACCCAATACTCTGTGGCTGACCACATGTGGATATGCGCCATTGTTTGCTTTCCTTCCCCAAAAATATGTTGACTGAGTGATTTGTTTCCACACTTAATCAGTGAGAAAGAAACCACAACATCTGGGATTCACACAATCTTGATTTTCAAAGGTTTCCCAGTGCGCCTGGTTGAGCCCTCCCTGGCCCGCTGCCCCTACAACCTGAGGGTGCCCCATAGCCCCAGGGCGTGAAGGGAGTGGGGAGAGGCAGAGGACATAATTGGGATTAGAATATCATTTGGTAAAGCAGGTGATTTCTCCATTTTCAGAAGGATTTTAAACTTGCCTGGACTTTAGCAAGTATGAAATAATATGATGACTGTTTCCTGAACACTCTGGACACCACTACAGAGTTCTGACATCTCACTGCTCTCCTCCCCCTCTTCTCCCCTCCTCAACTCCCCCATCTTTTCTCTCCTGGTTCCTGGCTGGGTTTTTTCCCCTCATATTTGCCCTTTTCCTTTCCTATTTATTCCCTCTACCCCTCCTTTTCTGTTCTTTGTCCAACCTTCTCTTCTTTTCTCCTCTCTGCATGATGCCCCCACCTTCTCCTTTATTCCTCAACCCCAGGCCTCCATCCTAGAAAGTACCATTTGGCCCCTGTTCTGTCCTTGTACCCCACTATACCAGTACTCAAAGGGACACATGTGCAGTATATGTCTTCAATGACCTGAGGACACATTAGTGAGCTGACCCCAAGTCAGTGCTCTTCTCCCATGTCAGCTTGGGTGCTATACAATATTACACTGCCTTCTAATGCAGACAGCCAGGGGGTTTTCCCCAGAAGGTCAAGGTGCCCCCTGCATGTGCACTTTGTACCTTAAATGTTAATGTTTCAGAACAAAGAAGAGAGGGGGCAGCATCTGAAGGCACATTTAGGCCAACTATAAGATGACCTATGAGGTTTTGTGAACTGAGAAACCACAGTGAGATTTGGGGCATTATAAAGCCTCCAGGGAAGGAAATTCAGGAGGTAAAAGTTCAAGAATTACAGTTCTTGGAGGTGTAAAAGACCAAGAGTTTTAAACAGAAAAACAAAAATCAACAACAAAAAAACTGTAAGAAGGTCACCTTCCACATCAACTGCACTGGCCTTCTTCCATCAACCTTGGCTGGTCTCAGGACTCTCCACAGATCCAGGCCATAGGGAGCTGTAGGGAAACAAGAGTGAGGTGCTCAACATAAGACAGAAGGGAGCTGAAACAGAATACAGTGAAATTAGCTGGGCTGCCTATTAGTAATGCAGTTGGGAAGGGTTTGCTGGAGGGAGTCAGGAGGAGTAAAGTGGTTGGTGGAGGGATGGCAGCATTGCAACAACCCACAATGTCTTCATTTTGTAGCCAAAGATTGGCATCAACCAAAGTAAAAAATAAAACTGCTCTTGGATCTGATGACTTAATATAAGGTAAAAAAAAAAAAAGTACAATAAGTAGTACTGTAATATAATTTATCACTGAAATCTGGATTGAAAGGTAACATCTCATGTCCTGTAAGATATAACATCTATATACATTAAAGCTGGGGATGACACAGAAACTGATAAGGAGATAGATACATAAATAGAGATATATTATTATATTATATACACACTTTCAGGGTGCGAAAGAGAGAAAGAAAGAGGGAGGGAGAAAGAGAGACCAAGATCTACTCCCAAAAATGTTAAGATGTTATAAAATATAAGAAAGAATTAAAGAAGAAAGGAGCAGAGAAATAATCTTTACTAGGTCATTTCCTGAGCTTTAAATTCAGTGCTGATCTTTGTGGCAGAAAAAGCAAAAAAGGATCATATTGAATTGCACGTTTCTCATAGCCTGACAAAACACAACCATATGAAGGAGCAAGTATTCTCTGGCTAGGGGAATGAATTAATAAATGGAATTTATCATGGGGATCCTCTTAAAAAGACAATGGGAAACACAAAGTCCAGTGTCTGCAATCACAGTTGAGCAAACGTACAGAAATATGACATATGTATGTTTTTCATATTTGTGTCCTACAAAATGCAAGGGCATAAGGTTATACCTGATTTACACATTTCTCCACTGAATAACATCAATCCAAGACAATACGGTTCAAGTGTGCTAGCTTCTGATGATCTAACCAGACAGGGATAATTTCAAAATTCTGAGTTTCTGATTTAAGAATGACCTATGCACGTTAGCCATGAGAAGAAAGCAGAGAATTCTAAAGAACTCTCCAGAAGGCTAGTGGCCTATAATTTGGAGAAGGAAGGAAATGTCTCTAACTGAAGATGCAGTTAATGAACTCTGAGTTTTTTCTTGAGGAAACCACATGGCTGAAGATAATGTAAGTAGATCTGCAGAGAATGGGGTCAACCACTCAGGCCAAGATCTAAACTATTTTAGTACTGACATAGACTGTTTTCAAGTATCTGAAATCACACTTGGGGTGACTGGGTGTCTTAGGGCAAAATGAACCAAAGGGCAATTAAGTCAGTAACCTGTTTTGTCATCAATGGAGAGTCACATTTCTACAACTACTCTTGCAGAAGCTGAAACGGGTAAAACAGTCTAACTGGTAGGTCCCGATCTTGGTGAGATCTAGTGTAATTCTATATAAGTTGCATATCAGGAAATTGGAACTATTTAGATTTTAAACATGACTTCATTTGTACTCCAGTAAGATATTGTCTTACTGTCTTACAAGCTCTGTCAGAAGTTATCTGATTTCCCAAAGAAATCAATATTCTTCAATATCAATGTCTTCAAATCGATTCTTCAATAAAAAATCAGAAGACAGGCAGCCTGTACTCAACTTTCTCAGACAGGGAACAAGAGACTGGTTTCAACCTGTCTACAAGCCAATGAGATGTGAACACAGACAGAGTTCCTCCAGGCAGATAGCTTTAGCACAAGGCTCCATGTGGTCGCTTCAAAGGCGACCCACGGAATTGGAAGGACTCTCACTCCATCTCTCACTTGCAGAGTCTCTCCATTCCCATTATGTTCAGTCAGATTCAGAGATAATAGCACTGAGAGTAAGAAAGAAAAAATCTAAAGGCAAAGTGTGTTTATAATCCAGCCCCGAATATTCATCTGAAGGACAGAGGCAAAATAAACTGATTATTAGATAATCAGTCATTGCAGGGACTTGGTTAGAAATATGAGCGAAATTCTCCTTAGATTTTTCCCACAGGCGGGCATTTAGTTGTAGTAGATGGTGATGGTAAATGAATTTAATCAGGTATTTTCTCCTTTCACTGAGACCACTATTTCCTGCAGATAAAGGCCAAAAAGGAACCATCTTCCCCCTATCGAATTCCCACAGATGCAGCTTTTAGTAAAGCCATTACCTGAGTCACCTGTAAATCTACAATGAACAGCAATTGTCCATTAACCACGAGCTAGTAATGGCTTTGCCGTATAGTCAAAGTTAGAAAAGTACTAATTCTGTATTTGTAAAAGAGCAAAATTAAATTTTTCCAAATCCATCAAAACATCTACATATTCAAAGGCATCAATTCTTTGGACGCATTAGCAACAATCTCGTGCTATCTTGCTTCCGTTGCAATCTGGGAATGTCCACAAGTACCACCAGTCAGACATGTCAGACAACCTGGTGCCCTTGCTGACGGTCAATAATAAGAATAGTGAACTTATAGCCAAGGGTCACTATACTAAGCATTCTACCTGATGCACCTCATTGAATCTCCACACCCTTATAATTAGGTAGAGTAGTACTGTCATCACCATTTCTGAAACAGAGAAGCATGTTTGAGTGCTACAAGCTTTCAGGTGACAAAGCCAGGATCAGAATATAATTACATCTGCATCAGGTAGTAGCTACTTACATGTTTAAATGTGGGTAAATAGCCCCAATAGTCAATCTATCGAAATCCAAATAAAAGTAAGTAATGTTTCACATTTGACTTAGAAAATTTCAAACAATTAGAAATGGTTTGAGGCGGTGTGTATTAAACAACTGGCATTTCATTGTGAAATAGGGAAACAAATTATTTATGAATTGGAAAACGGGACATTAGGATTTGCTGGGAGCCAGGGGGTGCGTCTTCATCGATTTTCTGTGGGATCCTGATAAAATGAAGAGAAACAAAAGCAAAAGCTCTACAGTGGTGACTTTGATAAATAAGTGGTTTGATTTAACCAGCCACAGGCCCAGACAACACCAGCATTTAGGGCTCTGCTAACGAATCCCAGCCCAACTAGCCAAAATAACAAATTAGCCGAAACGGTAAATCTTGTTTCTGGCAGCAAAACAAGGGGATGAAACTGAAACTGAAACTGACATGAGAGAGCAGCTGGGCTGTCATGAGCTAACGGAAGACATAGAGCCACTGTGGCACCGGGAGGTCACTGGAGGGAAGACTGCCAGCTACAGGGCAGGGAAGGGCCATGCAAAACAGGGTTATACCTGAAGTAGAACTTGATCTCCCAGACCACCTGCTAAAAGGTATAGCAAAGACAGAGGACACTTCACCAAACAACACTGCATGCATTGCATTCTAATCTTTTCAAAGGGAGGGCTCAGTTAAGACAGACAACAACCAACTACTCCTACAGATTATAAACAATGGGCCATTTTTTTGCTGTGTAATTTATGTGCTGTTTAGTATTTGTAAACTATTATATTTGTATTCATTTGACACTTTGAGGTGATGTCTGTAGAATGTAAATGTGTTCCCAAATAGTGTATGTAATTTTAATCAAAAGTTACATGGGATCCACAAACTGACTAGTTTTGTTTTAATCATGTCTGTATTTCTTTCTTTTTTTTTTTTTTTTAAGATTTTATTTATTTATTTGACAGAGAGAGACACAGCGAGAGAGGGAATACAAGCAGGTGGAATGGGAGAGGGAGAAGCAGGCTTCCCGTGGAGCAGGGAGCCCGATGCGGGGCTCGATCCCAGGACCCTCGGATCATGACCTGAGCTGAAGGCAGACGCTTAACGACTGAGCCACCCAGGTGCCCCTCATGTCTGTATTTCTATTGATGTAAAATTTATATAGCCCTTACCATTTGTAAGGTACTGTTGTTCTAAGTACTTAAAGACGTAAAGATTTGGGGTTTTCTATGACTTTTTCTTGGACTGCTAGAGCCTGACATAGAAAACTAGATGCCTGAATGGCATAGATGAATGGAATCTAAGGGTAAGAAGGGCCTTCAGAATCCAAATCAAAACCTCAATGAGATACCACCTCACACCAGTCAGAATGCTAAAATTAACAAGTCAGGAAACGACAGATGTTGGCAGGGATGCGGAGAAAGGGGAACCTTCCTACACCGCTGGTGGGAATGCAAGCTGGTGCAACCACTCCGGAAAACAGTATGGAGGTTCCTCAAAAAGTTGAAAATAGAGCTACCAAACGATCCAGCAATTGCACTACTGGGTATTTACCCCAAAGATACAAATGTAGGGATCTGAAAGGGTACGTGCACCCCAATGTTTATAGTAGCAATGTCCACAATAGCCAAACTGTGGAAAGAGCCAAGATGTCCAACGACAGATGAATGGATAAAGAAGAGGTGGTATATATATACAATGGAATATTATGCAGCCATCAAAAGGAATGAGATCTTGCCATTTGCAACGATGTGGATGGAACTGGAGGGTATCATGCTGAGCGAAGTAAGTCAAACAGAGAAAGACATGTATCATATGACCTCACTGATATGAGGAATTCTTACTCTCAGGAAACAAACTGAGGGTTGCTGGAGTGGGGGGTGGGGTGGGAGGGATGGGGTGGCTGGGTGATAGACACTGGGGAGGGTATGTGCTATGGTGAGTGCTGTGAATTGTGCAAGACTGTTGAATCACAGATCTGTACCTCTGAAACAAATAATGCAATATATGTTAAGAAAAAAAAAGAAGAAGAAGGTAGCAGGAGGGGAAGAATGAAGCAGGGGAAATCGGAGGGGGAGACAAACCATGAGAGATGATGGACTCTGAAAAACAAACTGAGGGTTCTAGAGGGGAGCGGGGTGGGGGGATGGGTTAGCCTGGTGATGTGTATTTAGGAGGGCACGTTCTGCATGGAGCACTGGGTGTTATGCACAAACAATGAATCATGGAACACTACATCAAAAACTAATGATGTAATGTATGGTGATTAACATAACAATAAAAAAATTTTTTAAAATTTAAAAAAGAAGGGCCTTCAGAAATTATCTAGCCTGTGGTGCCTGGGTGGCTCAGTCAGTTAATCTTCTGCCTTCGGCTCAGGTCATGATCTCATGATCCTGGGATTGAGCCCCATGTCAGGCTCTCTGCTCAGCGGGGAGTCTGCTCCTCCTTTCACTCTCCCTTTGTGTTCGTTCTATCTCTACATCTCTCTCAAATAAATAAAATTTTTAAAAAAGGAAGTCATCTAGCCCAATTTCCCAAGTGCTGCATGAACCCCTGTTGTGTAACCACATCCACCAATGGGTAGTTTAGACTGAACTAACACGAACATCTCCAGTGGGGGCTACAAAATTCAGAAGACACTGGATTATTTCCAGACATCTGTCCATATGGGCAAATGTGCTGAACACCTGTTAGTACCAACTTGGTCTCATAGGAAACTCAAGCAAGATCCAGAGGAATAAATTATTGTCATATGGACTAGGGAGCACAGAAATTGACTGCAAATGTTACCTGAGACCTGTGTGGTACTTGGCTATAAGACTGAATAAGACTTACAAGAATATGACTGAAATTATGGCTGGGTGTGCGGCTGGGGAAAATTCAGTGTCTAGAACCCACATGTCTTACAAACAAATGAGAGTAAAGCCTCAGAAGGTTAGTAGGATCAGCATTTTGCATTTCTTCTCCTTATTTCAGAAGATGTGTGGACATACCAAGTATTCAACTACTCATTCATTCATTCATTCATTCATGGTGTTAGGCTGAAAAATGTACCCCAAAGATCTAAGTCCTAATCCCTGCCATTTGCAAGGTTACCTTATATGGCCAAAGGGATTTTGCAGATGTGATTAAGTTAGGATCTTGAGTTGGGGAGATTATCCTGGATTGTCTGCGTGGGCCCTAAATGTTTTCACAAGGTCATTGTAAGAGTGAGGCAAAGAGATTTGACACAGAAGAAAAGAAAAAGGTAATGTGATGATGGAAGCAGAGATCAGAGTAATATGTTTAGTTGATGAGGGAAGGGGCCACAACCCAAGGAATACAGGCAACCACTAGAAGCTGGAAACAGCAAGAAAACATATTCTACCCTCAGAGTCTCCAAAAGGTAAACAACCCTGCTAACACCTTGACTTTAGTCCAGTGAACCTGATTTTGGACTTCTGACTTCCAGAACTGTTAGAGAAAAAAAATGTGTTGTTTTAAGTCATTAAATTTGTGATAACTTATTACAGTGGCCATAGGAAACTGATACATTCATCAAACATTTATTACTACTGAGGGACAGGCACTGGGCAAGACTCTTGATTTACAAAGAACGGTAACACATGCTGAGTGACCCTGAGCAATTGGCTAATACGTCTGAAACTCAGGTCCTTCACCTCCAAGTGGGGGTGATTCCAGATACTTTATAGGGCTCCTAGAAGGTTTAATAAAAATAATAGAAAGCCTGGCATTTATTGAATGTTTATTGTGAGCTAAATACATTATGTCATTGAATTTTTAAAATAACACTAAGAAGTAGGTACTACTTTTAACTCAGTTTTATAAATTATATTCCATTATGGAAAAGGGGAGTAAATAGTGAGAAAACTAAGGCTTAGAGATTAGGTGTCTAGCCCAAAGTCACTCCACAGCCAGGCTGGGATTTCAGCCAAGCCCACGGAGTTAAAGTACTGCTCTGAATGACCATACCTGACTCACAACAAGCATTCACTCATCGTACAATCCCTTTCTCTTTCTTTCCCTCACTGTCATTAAGAATCTGACTTTTTTTTCCTCATTAATTATACCTTTATTTACCTTTTAGTGGTAGCTCCAGGTTTTACAATATATAACTTTATCATAGGATACTTTTAAATAATATTACACTGCTCATGTATGTATAAGAAGTTTCTAAGAGTATTAAAGATGTGATCATTTGCCTTTGGGGCAAAAAGATGCTAACTAAGGCCATCTGAGGAGGGCTGGCTTACCATGTGGGCTCAGGTGGGCACAGTGAGTGCCCTGTGGAGAGGGAACATACAGACTGCGAGAGTCGATGATTCCCAAGTACAGAACTTGACAAAACCCAAAAAGGCCAGGCCCAGGCCACCCGAAACCAGACCAGGCAGAAAAGGATTTGCAAGGGACCAGCTTGCCTTCTTCCTCAGTTGTTCCCACTTTCTCTTGGCTCCAACCACTCCAGAATATGGACTCCGCAGGGGCACATCGCAGAGCTACAACATACTCTGTAAAAGCCTGCAGCCCTGTGAGATTGTAGGTCTCATCTCTATCGATATCTTCTTTGGTGAAGTTGACTTCCATCTAAAAGACAGAGAGGACCCTGAGCTGGATAGGAGAACCCCTGTTATCTTTCCATTTTTCTTCTCCACTACCCAACCATTTCAGAACTAGAAGCACTGTACCTAAAGTTTTAAAAAATATAATTTTCATAAATAAACATCCATGCATGCCTGGGGATCATTTGTGCCTAAGCAGATGTGAGTCACCCCATGAACCACCACCCTCCCCATTTCCTGTCTCTAAGCTTGGAAGGCAGAGATTCCTGCCTCTGGGCTGGACATGAGTGAGTAGTCTTGTTGTTCTGGAAAATACAAGGTGGAGTCCCGGGACCCAGGCAACCCAGGCCTCAGTTCAAACACAGCAGGTGACTCCAACACCTAGGTATAAGGCCTCACAGAACAATAGGCAACAGAAACTTTAGTGGCATCACGTTCAACCTCAGGTCATGGACAAGACCTCAAAATTTAAGTGACCATGAACTACCTTAGTAGTTCCTTGTTAGGAGCAGAACTGGGATCAGAACACAGATTTCCTCCCTCCTAGACACTTTCCCTTTACCCAAACTTCCACTGCAAATTATTGGTCTTTGGGTGACCAGTAGGGCTGCTAAGGATCTCAGCAGCCTGGATGCATGAATTCATTTTGACATTCTCTTGGGGCATGGAGGGGGAGAGGTAAATAAATCACTTCTCCTTTCTAGACCTCAGTATCCTCACTAATAAAATGAGCACATTGCTTTATATAATCCCTAAAGTCCCTTCTGGATCCAACTTTCCAAGAGAAACTAAAAATTCAGATACTTGTTTTTGAGCATGATCACGGTTGCTGCAATAAGAACTTTTAGCTGTTGGTTTATATAAACTCATATCGAGTTGATTAATAAACTGCGCTAATGGGCATATCTATTTTGTGATTATGCCCACTAGTCCCATAAAACCTTGTGAGAGAAGGAAGTCCTGACATTTCCCATATGTATATAACAGCTATGAAAATAAGTACATAATTATAGGTATTGGGCCTAAAGGAAATTGGGCAAAATGACAATGTTTATGTGTGGCAAAAAGCTGAACATTCCAGCTGCAGATGGACACTGCTGAACTCCCTGCCTAGTAACATGGTGCTGGGAAAAAAGATATAGGAGCCAGAGGTGAGGAGAGTTCCACTGTTGAATCCAAAGTTCCCTGAGCTCCCTCCTCCAATCACCCGTGGAAATGTTGCAACGGCAGACCACGGTCACTGGGACAATCCATCATCTCTGGGAGAGTAGCCTCCCCAACTTAAGCCTAGTTATGGGGCCCAGGTGAAACCAGATTAAGACCTTTAGAAGAAAGCCAACCCACATGGTGATTTCCATACATGAATCAAAATGAAAACTATATTAATCTACAAAATAAATGCAAAGAAGTCTAATAAAGTTCTATTTTCCTTTTATGCTCTTTTAAATATACAATATTCTTTTAAAACAATCTTTCAAAGTTCTCTTCCTGCATTACTAGTATCCTCAAGCGTATGCTTGGCCTGTGTGTTGGGGCTCCTCGCATTCATGCTCATAAAGCTCTGTCTAATGTAACTATGCTAGCATGTTCTGTTCAGCCCTACCCCCAAAGCAAAAAAAAAAAAAAAAAAAAAAAATCTGCTCAGTCTTTCAAACAGTGTGCCTGTCTGAAAGGCTTCTTTTAGTTTGGCTTTTTTTCCGGGCATGTGCCTTTGGCCCTCACAAGGTCCAGGACAAACTGATCCTCCCTATACAGGCTTAACTAAAACTTCCCCAGGTCAACACAGACAAAGGACTCCTAACAAAACACTAATTAACTTCATCAGGTTTGTTTCTAACAATCTATACTTTGTGCCAAATCCTAGTTCGCCCAAAGTGTTTATGTTCTAAGAGATGAGTCAAAAGTGTTGGTACAAAGCCTAAGCCTAAATCAAACTCTTTTTTTTTTAATATTCTATTTATTTATTCAACAGAGAGAGACGGAAAGAGAGGGAACAAAGGGGGGAGTGGGAGAGGGAGAAGCACGCTTCCCGATGAGCAAGGAGCCCCGACGCAGGGCTTGACCCTGGCATCATGACCTGAGCCGAAGGCAGACACTTAACAAAGGAGCCACCCAGGCGCCCCTGAATCAAATTCTTAAAACAGTCTTGAGATCCTTTGGCAGAGTGCTCATATGGTTCCATTTTATAAAACTCCTTAGAATAGGCAACAGGAAGATGGTCTGGAGACTGCTAAAATATGGTCAAATGAATGACAGCTTGGAGTTAGAAAACCTGGGCTCAGGTTTGCAACTTACAAACCTTGCAATCTTGGACAGGTGATTTAAGCTGTCTACATCACAGTTTCCTAATGTGTAAAAATAAGAATAGTGATGCCTCATTGACAAGATATATGCAAGAATTAAATAGTCTGGAGTATAAGAAGGCACTTTGCAACCCACACAGCATCAAACAAACCTAAGTCTTGCTATATGGCCATAGTGGGTATTTTTTTACAGTTTAATGCAGGGAGAGATGAATTTAAATGACCGTGCTGAGTGTTAAGTGCAGTGACAGAGGAGGAGCGCCTAGCTCAGGTTCTCAGAAGGAAATATGTCAGAACTGAGTTCTGAGACATGAACAGATTCAACAAGGTTTGAGGAAGGAGGAGAAGGGCAAAAGCAGAGACACAGAATAGTGAAACGACATAACATAAGGGAAACCAGCAATTTAGAAACACTAGAGAAGCAAGGGCAGGATGAAAGATGAGGTCAGAGGGATTGATAGGGGCCAGGTCTTGGAGGGTTAAGGATTTGGACCTTTCTCCATGGAAACGTTGGGTTGGTATATTTGGGTTTATAACTGATTGTGTTTGAAAGCTGAAAGGAGAAAGATACTATACAATGGAATACAACAATGAAAATGTATAAACTCCAGCATTATACAACATGGATGAACCTTAAAAGTACAATATTGAAAGAAGCCAAATATTTACAAAATACAAAATGTATGGATTCCTATCATATCATGTCTCAAACTATGTTGTTCAGGGATGCAGCTTTAAATGGCAAACCCATAATAAAAAGTGAAGAAGTATTTACCATGAAAAATCAAGATAAAAGCTCTAAGGAGGTATGGGGATTGTCTTCAGGAAAGGACAGGCAGGGGACCTCGGCATGCTATTTTGGACCTCCCTGGTTTTAACATAAGTGCTGACTTAATAATAATTCATTAAATGTAATATTTATGTTTTGTTCACTTTTCTAAATATAAGTCATATATCACAATTTCATAAAAGGTTGGAAAAGTAAAAAAGGAAATGGCCAAGCCATAGAATCTCTGGCCACCAACACATCTAGATACAAACCAGAGTGGAATGCAAAAGTAAATTTCTCACTTTTTAATATGTCCCTGTGTTCAGAATGCAATACGCCTAGAGTGAAACACTTATCCATTCTAAAAGGCCCAAGTGGGAAACTGGGAAGAAAAGTACTCACTGTTATTTTTTATTTTTTAAGGTAGAAAATGGGGGAAAAAAAGATTCCAGGTCAAAAAAAAGGTTATCAATAATTCTCTTCTTTGGGCCCGGTAATAGAAATATTGTAATGGCATAACTTACCCAGTGGGCACTATTTACTGTTCTGAATCGAAGAGTGTATTTTAAAGTAGATGAAAAAGGAGCCAACACAGGCCTTATCCATGTTATTTGAAGCATTCGTTTGATGCCCAAAACTGATTTCACACTGAAAATCTCAGGTGGTTCAATTTTCACTGAAAATAAAAATCATAAATTTCTCACATTTGCAAAAAGATCAGAAGGTGCTAATAACATCCATAAGAAACTGGAAAAAAAAAGAAAATTAGAAAGGAAATGATAATGCATATTTTGTAACTCGCCATATGCAGATGGCATTAAGAAGGCAGGGCAAAAGGAATGGTGCCACCCCCACTTCTCCCACCCACCCCCAACCAGAAAAAGGAATGGCCAGTGAGGAGAAGATACATTTCTATGATTTTTCTGCAAATACACCTTTTACTGATTGGTTCAGATCTTATGCCAAGAAGAAAGGAGGTCAAAAGAAAAGACTACACAGCTAGAAAATGGGCTGTTTCTCTTATCTCCACTCCCCTCAACCTCTCTTTCCTCGACCCCCAAAAGTGTCCAGTAGAAAGCACCTCTCATTTCCCTTGAACACTACAAACATTATCACTCAAAATCTCTCTCTTTCAAAAACGTAATATTTTTCTGGTTTTAAAAGTAGCATATGGTCATTCCAAAAAAATTTTTAAATATAGAAAAATACAAAGAAAAGTTTAAATCATCCATAATGCCATTAACCAGAGCCATTATAACATTCTGGTGTATTTCCAGGCTTTTATCCTATGTAAGTATTTGTATATTTTTTAAACAAAATTGATATTATGCCAAATAAAACCTTTGTCTTCTTAAATAACACTATTCATTCAACATATACCCTCTTGCATTAGAAATTCTAGAAACAATGAATTTAATAAGGTTGCAGGATATAAAATTAATATACAGAAATCTGTTGCACTTCTATACACTAGTAACGAAGTAGGAGAAAGAGAAATTAAGAAAACAATCCCACTTACAATTGCATCAAAAAGAATAAAATGCCTAGGAATAAATTTAAACAAAGAAGTGAAAGACCTGTACTCTGAAAACTATAAGACACAGATGAAAGAAATTGACGATAACGCTAACAACTGAAAAGACATACCATGCTAATGGATTGAAAGAACTAAAATTTTTTAAATGCCCATACTACCCAAAGCAATATACAGATTCAATGCAATCCCTATCAAAATAACAGCAACATTTTTCACAGAACTGGAAAAAAAATACTAAAATATGTATGGAACCACAAAAAACCCCAAGTAACCAAAGCAATCTTGAAAAACAAGAATAAAACTGAAAGTATCACAATCCAAGGTTTCAAGCTATACTACAAAGCTATAGTAATCAAAACAGTATGGCATGGGCATAAAAACAGACACATACATCAGTGAAACAGGATCGAGAGTCCAGAAAGAAACATAAACTTATATCATCAATTAGTATACAACAAAGGAGGCAAGAATATACAATGGGGAAAAGACAATCTCTTCGATAAATGGTTGGGAAAACTGGACAGCTACATGCAAAAGAATGAAACTGGACCACTGTCTCACAGCATGTACAAAAATAAACTCAAAATGGATTAAAGACTTAAACGTGAGACCTGAGACCATAAAACTCCTAAAGAAAACACAGGCAGCAATCTCCTGGACATCAGCCTCAGCAACATTTTTTTAGATATGTCTCCTCAGGCAAGGGAAATAAAAGCAAAAATAAACTATTGGGACTTCATCAAAATAAAAAGCTTTTGCGGAGTGAGGAAAATCATCAACCAAATGAAAAAGGCAATTTACTGGATGGGAAAAGACATTTGCAAATGATACATCTAATTAGGGGCTAATATCCAAAATATATAAAGAACTCATACAACTCAACACCAAAAAAACCCCACAATTTGAATTAAAAAATGGGCAGAAGACCTGAATAGACATTTTCCAAAGACAGAGGGCCAAGAGATACATGTAAAGATGCTCAACATCACTACTAATCAGAGAAATGCAAATTAAAACCACAAAGAGATATCACCTCATAGCAGTGAGAATGGCTAGTATCAAAAAAACAAGAAATAACAAGTATTGGTGAAGATGTGGAGAAAACAGAGCCTCATACATATCCACAGCCCTTGGTGTACCTACTATATCCTTGAGCCTTGAGTTTACTTTTGTGTTTGAATCTCTTCTGAGAAAAAGAGGGGAGGGGCTTATCTTTTAATAATAGAGTATATAAGAATAAAAAATGATACTTACTTATGGCATCTAAGTTCCAATGTGTTATATCAGATTTAATTATACCATCTGGATTTTGAGCTTCCACTTGAATGGTGTAATTATCTGGGTTTGTTATTGTTGGAGGAAGAAAGGAGCAAGAAGCATGATTTCCCCTTGTAGAATTATCAGTTGGGCAAATATCACTTTTATGTCCATAAGAGCTTTGAAGGAAAAAGCAATTCAACATGAGTTTAATACAGCAGTTTTGAAATAAAGCCATACTTAATATATTAAGCATGTATTTATTAGTTTCACTCTGGGTTTCTCTTGAGGTATATATCATCCCGAAGATGATGCCCGTCTCCAAATTCCCTCCTCATCTCTTCCAAGGAGAGATCAAAGTTACCCGCGTCTTGCCTGAGATGCTATGAGCCATGAAGACTTCCTTGGAACTCTGTAAGTCCATCAAAATCTATGCTTGTAACACATTTCCACTTGGTAAGAAATACTGACTAGGATCCTGAAAACCCCAGATTCTAGCCTTGAGACGTTATTCTTAAAAGAAAAATAAAATCAGTGAGGACTTGTTATATAAAGTATGGTAGATACATAAATAGAATTAAAAATATAGTTTTTAATACATCTAGAGTTATTGATATGGAAAGATGCCCATACTCTTATTGATGGTAAAAGAAAAAAAAGGATGTGTATTTTGTACAGACTAATCACATTTATATAAACATATATTTATATAACTATTCTTAGAGATGTCTGGAAAAGTATTCATCAAAATGTTAAAGTTGTTACCTTTGGTGGTGGAATTGCGAATGATTTTTTTACATTCTTTATATTTTTCAGATTGAATTTTTTACTACTGCCATATATTGTTTTCAGAAAGCTCATTAAATTTTTTTCCTAGACATATAGATAACTTAAATCCTATCAAGTTATAACTTAATGAAGACAAGTACAAAGATTGGTAGGAATCAGATGTGTGGTTATAGCCATAGTTCCCATGGCTGTGGGGATGAGGTAGGAGATGAAATAGGCAGAGAACACAAAAGGCCCCACTTTGCAAGATGCCAATGTTGGCTGGGGCTGGGGGCAAAGGAGCAGAACTTAAATGTATAGAATCATAGAATTTTGAAAGTAGAAAATTTATAGGCTTTCTATGGTTGTTGTACAATATAAAAACGGCCTCCAGAGCAATGTTGGGTCGTGGTTACAAGCATGAGCTCTGGAAGCTGACCAGGTTTGAATCCTGTGCCTTGGGCAAGTTTCCTAACCTCTCCATGCCTGAGTTTTCTCATCTCTAAAATGAGAATGGTAATGTACCTATAACATAGCACTGTTATGAGGATGAAATGAACTAATATACATAATATCAGCCACTTAGAAATGTTACTATCATTGTTATTAGTACTATTACGATAGCTGAATATTTTTGCCTTTATTCATGTTGTAACCTTTAAGAAATAAACTTTCTTCCCTTTTCTGCACCTCTAGGGCTCCTTCACATTTCAGTTCAAAAGTCACTACTTCCTTAAAGGGATCCCAACTCCTCTTATTGTTCCCCAAGGAAAAATCCCTTCTTATCATTTCTGAGCATCAGTAGGTTTTTTTGTTCATACCACTGACCCACCATCATCTGTCCTCAGGGTTGACCATCCACAAGAAATTCTCCCATTCTACCTGGAAGAGATATTCTCAGTGATAAACTGACAAAAGTACAAACCAGCCTGGGAGTCCTGGAGAGCCCAGCAAGCCTGAGGCCATCAACATGGATTGTATACAGGCCTAAGAACAGCTAGGCGTGGGGCACTAGTCAGTTAAGCATCCGACTTTGGCTCAGGTCATGATCTCAGGATCCTGGGATAGAGCCCCACGTTGGGCTCCCTGCTGAGCAGGGAGTCTGCTTGGCCCTTCTCCCCACCACAGCCTCTCCCCTCTCCTCCTCTCCCAGTCCCCCTCCCCACACTTGTGCTCTGTCTCTCTTTCAAATAAATAAATAAATAAAATCTTTAAAAAAAAAAAAAAAGAACACCCAGGCGTTTCCTACTTCTACATGACCAGTGGGTGAGAATAATGATAATACACGGGGAGTGATGCAAGGGGGAAATGACTCCTTAAAAGAGAAAAATAGGAGTACACTTACTGGTTTCCAGATTTTCGTTCTACTCGTACTTTCTATTAAACATTGGGCCTTGAACTGATGAGTCTTGGAGAAGAGAAGACACTTGGACCATGGGTTATTGGGCCTTTATCACTCTGATTTTCAGAAGCAGGGCTCAGCAAACTAGGCCTGCAGACCAAATACAGCCCATCTCCTCATATGGTGCATAACAACCATGGTTAAATGGTTGGGGAAAATACATAAAAAGAAAAATACTTTGTGGCATATGAAAATTATATGAAATTCAAATTTCAGTGTTCACAGATAGTTTTATTGGACAATAGTCCAGTCCATTGGTTTACATATTGTTTCGGCAGCTTTCCTGGTACAGCAGCAGTGATGTTAAATAGTCTCACAGAGACCCAATCTCCTCTAGGCCTAAAATATTTACTATCTGTCCCTTTATAGAAAAAGTTTCCTGGGATGCCTGGGTGGCTCAATCGTTAAGCGTCTGCCTTCGGCTCAGGTCATGATCCCAGGGTCCTGGGCTCGAGCCCCGCATCCGAGCCCCGCATCCGAGGCCCGCATCCGAGCCCCGCATCCGAGCCCCGCATCCGAGGCCCGCATCGAGGCCCGCATCGGGCTCCCTGCTCTGCGGGAAGTCTGCTTCTCCCTCTGCCTGCTGCTCCCCCTGCTTGTGCTCGCTCTCTCTCTCTCTGACAAATAAATAAATAAAAATCTTTAAAATAAAAAAAAAAGTTTCCTGACCTCTGTTTTAAATCATCTCTCTGATGTATCACTGATACATGAGTAATGCAAGGAATAGTGTTCGCTTTTATCTTTTTCTTCTACTGTAAAACATGAAGTAGACTTCCCTGATAACACTAGTTACCAATTTTCTAAGGAGTGGGGAAAAAAAGAATATGTATGAGATCTTGTATTTAAAAACAAAACAAAAACTTGGAATTACAGACTCTCTTTCTGAAATGGAAAAGATTTAAAGATCATCTTTCAATATTTCCTAATGTGGACTTCCTTATTCTTAGGGGAACATGAAGGACATAAAGGGTTTCATGAGCTATTTTCAAAATTTCAAAAAATTCCCTGCACAAACTCACTAAAACATCTAGCTTTTGGCTAGAATTATAATAAAAACTTTAAAATTTTTATTCTTATTAGAATGAAAAGGGATGCTTGAGGTAGTGAAAAATTTGGGAATCACTGTCCCGGTGGAACACTGTTTGACAGAGGTCACACAGCAAATTAGTGGCAGACTGAGAAAAATTTGCTCCTTAGTTCTGGGTTTATAACCCCACTTACTATAATTGGGTCCATGAAGAAGGAATAGTTTTATGACACATTCTGTTTTTTTTTTTTTAAAGATTTATTTATTTATTTGAGAGAGCGAGAATGAGAGAGAGTACACGAGAGGGGGGAGGGTCAGAGGGAGAAGCAGGCTCCTCGCTGAGCAGGGAGCCCGATGCGGGACTCAATCCCGGGACTCCAGGATCATGACCTGAGCCGAAGGCAGTTGCTTTAACCAACTGAGCCACCCAGGCGCCCCTTTATGACACATTCTGGAAAGAGGGCGAATATAGCTGAATATAGTAAATAAACAGATTTTTCCACTGTGCTTATAACTGGTGACTATTCTCAGCCAATTCAGTGCCTCTCAGAGAAGGTCATCATGAATCTACACCCCACCCCACCCCCCGTAGCTGCAGATCCTGTCACACACTTACAGCAGCCAAGGTGTCACCCCAGACACTGGGCGCAAATAGGGGTCACCCAGAAGCTGTAATGAAGAAAACGTTTCACTTCATAAGTGATTTGAATCCTGAATGAACCAGGAGCCTCTGCCTCCTTCCCTTACTCCCACTGATAGCACATAAACTCCCATACTTACTACGTTCTCTTCACTCTGTACCATGTATAACTGGCTTCTTTCTCTGGACTCCAGGTGCAGGTAAAATTTTCCTCATAGTAAAAGACACAGGAAATGTTCTCAGGCTTAGCTGGGAGAACTATATAAATACATACATACATACATACATACACAAATAAATATATAAGTAAATGCATACGAACGTACACACATACACACAGCGAGAGACACAATCATTTCATGAAAATAAGCAGATCAAAAGCTGGTCTTTCTTGGTTAGTTTATACATATTATAAATTCTCCCATTCAGGACCAAGGAAAGAATCTAACTCCCGCTCTTCAATTATTCCCCTTGAAGAACTAGATTTTTGCCTTTCAAAAAAATTATATTCTCACTCAAAAGCAACATTTGAGAAGCAAAAATCATTAAAATACCAGGCAAATATGAAGTGTTAGTGAAATACCAAGCAAAGCATCAAATGATGGAACCCGTCTGGGTAACTGGGCAATGGATGATATGTGGAAAAGGGAAAAACACAAAATGTTCAACTATGCCACACTTCAACCTTATGTATCAATAATTTTTCCCCAGAAGATTACAATAGGGAAAATTTCTGAAATATATTCATCTGTATTTCATAGCTTATAAATCTTGCTCTTTGCAGTTTCTCACCCAGTAACACCTATCCCTTCATAGGGAAAATAGATACAATCTAGAATATGGATCTAGACCCTGCAAGGGTCCAGAGATACAATCTATTGGTACATGCACTTAAAAAGGAAAAATTTTTCACATACCTATTGTTAAAATTTACAGTTTCCTTCCATCATAAATGTGGTCAACAACCTACAGTTGTATCATTACTTGTTACTTTGTCACCATTAAATGTCAGAGTATTTTCATATTTCAGTTGTTGCAGGTACCTTGATGTATCGATTAAGAAGCACATATAGTACTGTCACAAATTTGTTTCCTTAATACTTTCTTTTTCTCTTCTTATTTTTATTTGCATTTATTCTGTGCAGAATTTACTCCCAGGCCATAAGTTTTTGTTTCTTCAGTTTCTTCTGGGATATCTTTTTCTTCTGTGCAACCTCTTCTCCTGGTTTAGGAACAATCTGCTCTTGTTAAGTAAGGATCATCTCTATGTGGCAAGGAGAGCTCATGTATGGGTTCGTCCAACCATGAGCCCTGTACGTTCTGATGACTTGGGAGCTTTGTTCACCTGGATGTGCTCAGTGACCAGAGAACCGACATCTAAACCCTTAAGTTCAGCATTACTCTCTGCATTTTTAAGCATGTGCAGTAACAATTCAGCACTCTTCTTGGGCCACCGACCCTGTGTCCAGCCCCACTGTTTGGCCTGGGCACACCTACCAACTCCACAGAATGGCACACACTGCTTCTGCAAAGTGACGTCTTTCAGATACTTGGGGCTTTTCGGATCTGCAGACCCTTCATGGCCTGGGTAGTTTCACATATGCTCTTAAAGTGAACATGAAGATTTGAACCTCTTGATTTGCATGATTTCGTAGGGCTTTCTGGGTCAAGCAAATGGCAAGCTATTTTCAGAGGTCACCTCAGGCCGCTTAGGGGAAGAGGAAGAGCAGTGGCTCCTGGGAGAATTCCTGTTTCCTTAATACTTTGATAACATTCTTTCATTATATTTGAGTTCCTTTGTAATCCTATGTATACTATTTATGCACTTACACATATTGAGAAGTGGTCCAGATGTTTCACCAGATGCCCAAGGGGTTAATCATACATGCTCATGCATGCACATACACACATACATAATTGAGAACAAAGGCAATTTCAAACTAAGGGCAATGTTCAATTCTGAGACTCAAACTAACTTCTTTTTGAGTCTTTGGTAAAATCAGTCTTAAGAAGCAGGCTTTTTTTTTTTTAAAGATTTTATTTATTTATTTATTTATTTACTTACTTATTTATTTGACAGAGAGAGAGAGACAGCAAGAGAGGGAACACAAGCAGGGGGAAGGAGAAAGGGAGAAGCAGGCTTCCCCTTGAGCAGGGAGCCCAATGCAGGGCTTGATCTCAGGACCCCGGGACCATGACCTGAGCAGAGGGATCATGACCTGAGCCTAAGGCAGATGCTTAACGACTGACCCACCCAGGCACCCCAGAAGCAGGCATTTTTGAGAGAGGAAGACAACTTAGGTTAACTTTACATATCAAAGCAAAGCTCTAATCTATCCAGGAAGAAAGCCCCTACCAGACAAGAAATAGGAAAAAGCCCATCACTTCTAGCAAGTAAAATACTGATGGGGGTGGGTAGGGAGACAATGAAAGTAAGAGTAAGGAGCTCAGATGTCAGTGTTCTTGATAGAGCAGTAGAAACACGCAGATGGATCTGTGAAACTAGATCATCTGGGCTGGTGACTTACTTTACCAAGCACAGCCTGGGGCAGGTCACAAGCCTTTAGCCTAAAAGAAGGCTCAAGTTACACTCAGCTTCAACTCCAACATAATGCAGAAGTCCTAACACTGCAATGGCACAGCTCTTCAGAGAAGCCCCACACAGGCAAGTGTAGCATCCTGGGATCCAGAAGTCCCTGGTATCTCAGGGTGGGGAGTGGGTATAGATGTGTGAGGTTGGTCCAAGCCTGGGATTCAGATGAAGAGACTGCTATGCACAGGGGACTTCAGAACCACAGGAAAACAAATGGGACATGAACTTCAGGAATAGGTGCCAATATGATGCCCCAAAGTCTAGGCAAAGCCAGCTGTCCTGCAAAGGAGGCATAAGACCAAAGCAGGCAGTCCAGAGAAGACCAGAAGGCAACACAAAGACTTTCTTACATGGATTCACAATCCCTTGCCAGAGGTTCTTCATTCAGTCATATAAACCCTGCTCATGTACCCAGACACCATCTTAAAAAGGAGCAGGAGAAAGGCAGGAACTCTGGAAGGTGGGCATTTACTCCAGAGGGACTGAATTAGCTAAAAAACACTATAAACCATAGAAAATGAGCTAATGTTAACAAATAAGAGTGCTACCCACTCCCTCCTCTTCTTCAACCCTGCCTGGCTTTCCAGGGGAGAAGGAACTTTTGGAATTGATTGGCTTGATCATAGACTATAAGGATGTTATATTTTCTCTGCACACCTAACTAATACTGTATTTATTTCACCTCTGTCAGAGGTATTACCTTCTAACGAAAAAGCAATAGTAAACGGTTCTATGAAATGAGCATTATCCACAGGGGAAAAGTAGCCCCTGGAAATGATAAATAAGAATGAGGGAGATTCTAGAGGGGAGGGGGGTGGGAGGATGGGTTAGCCTGGTGGTGGGTGTTGAGGAGGGCACATTCTGCATGGAGCACTGGGTGTTATATGCAAACAATGAATCATGGAACACTACATCAAACACTAATGTTGTAATGTATGGGGATTAACATAAGAATAAAAAAAAAAAGAAAAGAAACTCTTAACTATAGAGAACAAACTGAGGGTTGAGGAAGGGAGGTGGGGGGGGATGGGCTAGATGGGGGATGGGTACTAAGGGGGGCACTTGTTATGATGAGCACTGAGTGTTATATGTAAGTGATGAATCCCTAAATTCTATACCTGAAACCAATTTTACCATATATGTTAACTAACTAGAATTTAAATAAAAACTTGAAATTAAAAAAAAAAAAAAAGAATGTGGGAGAGCTAGGTGCCTACATGTTGTGTCAACACTTCCAGCTCTTTCTTGAGAAGTTGCCTTCCTCTGAATGCTGCACCCCATCCTTTTTTTTTAAGAGTTTATTTTTATTTCATTTGAGAGAGAGAAAGAGAGAACAAGCAGGGGGGAGGGAGAAGCAGGCTCCCTGCTGAGCAGGAGCCCAACATGGGGCTCGATCCCAAGACCCTGAGATCATGAGCCGAGCTGAAGGCAGACGCTTAACCGACTGAGCCACCCAGGCCCCACTACTGCTGCACCCCATCCTTGAAGCACACATTAGTTAGCAGTGAAGTCAAAGATTTTCTATCTTGTGCTGTTGGGAAGATGGCAGAGTAGGACCCTCACCTCGTTCCACAGATACAACTAGGTAACATTCACATCAGCTTGAATATTCCAGAAAAAGACCCAAAGACTGACAGAACAAACCCCACAAATAAAGTAGAGAAAAGGCCACATCGAAGAAGGCGGACATGCGATTTGAGACCTAAAGGGACTGGGGCCACCCACAAACAGGAGGGAGCTGGGAGTACAGTGAAAGGCAAGAAACAGACAATCACACTGGGGACTCAAAATGGGGAAGACGAACCCCCATAACATTTGGCTTTGAAAACAAGAGGGGCCTGATTTTGTGAGTTCTTACAAACTGTAGGACTCCAAGCCTGGAATTCTTAAAATAAGGTGTTCGGCTCTAGGAAAGCTCTGTGGGCATTAGGAAGCTGAGTCCTCACCCTTTAAGAGGCAGCATGATGGGGGCGCCTGGGTGGCTCAGTCGTTAAGCGTCTGCCTTCGGCTCAGGTCATGATCCCAGGGTCCTGGGATCGAGCCCCACATCAGGCTACCTGTTCCGCGGGAAGCCTGCTTCTCCCTCTCACACTCCCCTTGCATGTGTTCCCTCTCTCGCTGTCTCTCTCTCTGTCAAATAAATAAATAAAATCTTAAAAAAAAAAAAAAAGAGGCAGCATGACAAGCAGCCTAAGCAGATACAGTGAAGAACCAGCAGTTTGAAAACCACTGGGTGGCAGGGGTTCCTGTGTGGATCAGTCACTTGGGTGTCTGACTCCTGATATCAGCTCAGGTCATGATCCCAAGCCCTGTGTCCAGCTCTGCACTCAGTTCAGAGTCTGCTTCAGATTCTCTCTCTCTCCTCTCCCTCAACCCCTCCCCACCCCTTGCGTGCTCTCTAAATAAATAAATAAATAAAATCTTAAAAATAAAAAAAAAGGAAAGAAAAACACTGGTGGCAAATGGGAGGGGGAGTGATTTACTCATTACAGACTATGTCCTGGAGAGCTATGGATCTCAGAAAGACACCTCCAGGAACAAAGGAGTTTGTAGGCACAATTTCCCATCCCGGTCCACCAGCAGAAACACAAAGCCGCCTGTGGGAACCAGTACTTTGCCCACACTCCCTACCTAACTTGCTTGCATCAAGCCCCCCACCCCATGC